TGGAAAAAATTAAGTAATTGAATGTCTCTTCGGAAAAGGTGGGGAAGAAATAACCGCCTTCCGAGAGAGAACTAAACACTGGCTGGCGAAGAGGGGGAGGTAGGTGGGAAAATTTGAACAGATAACTTGCCACACGATGGTGTAGAGGTAGAAAGGGGCCCTCGTATTCGCGCAACGTACTATAAAGCAATGCTCGATCACATGTTACCTAGTACCCAGTTCACGCAGCCAGTGCTTGATAACAACAGGTATCCCGACGCAAAAATGTAATTATGTTTGGGACATAATTTTTGTTTTTATTATATACTACTGATGACGGAGTTTTTGATGAATTTCCGAAGATTTCCGACCACCTTTTTCCGAAGATTTCCGAAGATTTTTCACATTGTACCGAAGACCCGACGAACGTTCCCGAACATTTTCCGAGAATTTACGAAAATTTCCGAAGATTTCCGAAGATTGCCGAGCACTTTCGAGGAAGACCCGAAGACGTTTCGATGGTACACCAACGAATTTAAGTACAATGTAAGAGACAAACCTGATGTCAGTGAAATTATCGATATCTTCACATGTGAGAATATCATATCTTCACATGTGAGGATATCGTATCGTTTTTATCAATTTGTCACCACTCTGTATACCACTGACTTTTATATAATAAATGAATTTTATTTTCGAGTGGTAAAACAATATTTTACGAACGAGCTGTGCTCGTTCGTAAAATATTGGTTTGCCACGAGAAAATAAAATTCATATCTTTAAGCCGCCATGTAATGTTCTTTTTATTATCTAGACAAAAAGACATCGATAAAATAATCGAGGGAAATGACCGAAATTACGTACGTCATCGATAAACTCACATGTGAAAACCACTCGGGTCCCGGATGTAGTTTTTACGAGTGGCATATTTTCCAGTAAAACACTCGTCACTATATAATAAGGTTATATATGGTTGTTCTATATGGTTGTTCTTCTTGTGACCGTTGCTTTCTGATCCGTACGAACACGTGCGAGCAACTGCAAGAATTTTGGGAGCACGAGCAAGCGAACACTCGTTTAAATTTTGCGAGCAAATCGAGCAAAGGTAAAATTTTGCGAGCAGTTAAAAATTTTAATGGACCATTCATCACCCCTTAAGCTGTTTGCACCGCGCTTTCAGGGTCAAATCACAATGTAGTTTAAATATGAGTAAAAGTGTAAAGAACACTTAAGACCGCAACCCGACGAGTTTTTTCTATCTGTGGAAAGAGCGTACCTGAGAGCTGCCTCTTTTTTCAATATTTAAGTACGCGACTGCAACATATTTTTTTTCGAAATTCATAATCCTTTTTTGAGTGTAAGATTGCCAATGGGCGATCAAATTAAAATATAAAACAATAGTTTCGCTTGTTATAACAGTCATTTTATTTCTGTGGAGCCTAACGAAACACAGCTGAATCCAGCAGGCCAACGGAACATCAAATATTGATCGACTATTGTTTGGTGGAACATCAGCTGGAACGAATGTAGGGAACGCAGACAAATACGTCGCATATATGACTGGCATTTTGTGGAAAGTCCAAAACATTGCTTAAAGCTCCACCGAGACATTTACGGTGCATTCATAATAAAGGAATCAACAGAAGGGGGAAGAAACCGTGCGCTTTGTTGGTATTTTACAAATGTCATAATTTAAATGCTTGCATAGGATCAGTGTTAGCGACGCAAGACGAGAGGGAATTTGGTATGAATTCTGTATACATTGTGATTTTATTATGTCAATAGGCTCTGCAAAATCTACAATCCTCGCGAAAATGCTTTGAAACGCCTATGCATGTACCTTTCCCTTTACAGTGTGCCATGTGAGTGCAAAGTTACGTGGCTACAACAGCATTGCAAAAGGGAGGGGTAAACGATAGGGCGCAGAATTATCCAAAGTGTTTCAAAGTTTTTGTCTGAAATTGTAGCTACATCTTGAAGATCTCAAATTCGGCGTGGTTTTTAGTAGTGATGCAAGTATGATCTCCTGGCATAAAAGTCGTGTGTCAAATAAAAACGAACGCGACTGAGCTTGAGTGCAAGCAAGCATCCCCGTAGATCTTACAAAAATTAACGAAAGAAAGAAAAGCAAAAAAAAAATGAGACTTCAATTAATTGAACGATCAAGAGGAAAACCTTGATCGCTTCAAGTGCATTTTAGAGTCAAGCTGTTTTCACGGTGAAATAAGAATTTTCCTGCTTTCGTTCATGCTTGCGCGCGTCATGCTTGCGTCAGTTATGCCTTTTCTGTCGACTACAGAACAATGCTTTCTGGCGAAATAAAGGTGCTTGCATCACGTTTAGCAGGCTGGCGAAAACTAAACTACACTCTGCTCACCTTCCCAAAAAGCCCCGTTGTTAGTGACCACAGTTCCGTTAGCTGTAATTATAAGCCGGGAAACTCATTTCCCACTTCCATGAGAACTTCAATTCAGTAAATCAAAATCATGAAGATAAACTGCTATCATTTTTGCTCGCAAATCACATCCGCAAAAAAGCATCGTATCAAAACTTTTCTCGTTAACTTTACAAGTGTATCTGCACTTATGCTTTTAAGAGATCGTACATTTTATCCAAATGGCATGTAGAGTCTTAGGTTGTAGCTATCTGCATAATCTATGCCATGATCTCCGACGTCCGGAAATTAATTTCCTGGCTCTGCATGTTAACTCAACAGTACCTCTTATATATTGATTAATTAAACATGGAACATATATGTACTGTATATGTACGAGAGAAAGGTTGTTTCAAATACGTTTCTTTCTGAGGAAACTTCTTGAAGGTATATCTAAAACAAATGAATTAAATACCTGTTATTCTATATAACTTAAGAATACGAAAAAAACCTGACCAGAAAATCAGAATCATTTTCTAGAGAGGAACATTACATTTGATCAGAAAACTCCTTAATTTTGAAAAAAGGGCTGATTATGAAATTAAAAGAACCAAAATTTAATTGTTTTCCCTATGTAAATGTCAATTATCGCTATTAAGATTGAAAGAAATCCAATTTTATTTCACTAGCTACTTTTAGTAACAAGTATAAACGGCATGTTCTAATTGAAATATTTTTGAGTTGCTTAAAAATTGTACAAAACATCAAGCATCAATTACTTACACTGGGAGACATAAAAAAGTAATAATCTGAAAACGAAAAAAAAAGAGATAAAGCTGATATTCCGACACTTAATTGTGACAAGAACTGTGTGCATATAACGAATCCAGATTATTAAAATACGCTAAAACTTTTGGCTTCAAAAACAAACAACTTTCTATGCCGATCATGTTAGTCATGTTAACGTTATTTAGATAAGATCTCAATAAATGCAGCCGAAAATCTGGGGCCTATTGCCATGGAAATAAAAGGCTGTTAAATTTGCGAAGGCCCTCGTTGAAAACTTTTCAAAGTTACAAAATCGTGGGCAAATACTTCCCAAAGTAAGTGTGATACTTTTTTTCTTCTTTAGCAGATTCCCAATGTTCCACACCATATCGCTAAATTGGAAACAAACTGAAAACGTGATTTAAATGAGGCTCGAGCCCTCGACTGGTCTCGTTACGGGGTTTCCGGTGAAGTGATGATGAATGTATCTTGCCCGCGTTTTGTATCCGTTGTGTGTTACTTAACTTTCTTTTCGTGTATGTTTCTCCTTAAGGCCAACACTGAAAGGATCATGTTTTTTATGAACGCTATCACTTATCTACTTCTTGGCTTACCGTGCTGGAAAATAACTTCTGCGGAACATAACACATGCCGTACAAAAAGAGCGATTTCAGAGTATGCGCTAAAAGGTCACGTGATATCTGCGATCGAGGGAAGAACGAGGGAATCCTGCGTGACCTCGTGTGAACACTTTCAAAATTGTTTCAGCATCAACTACTACTCGACGCTGAAGAGATGCGAGTTAAACAACAAATCAGCTGAATGGTATAAGAGCGATTTAGTTCCAACGCCGGGTGCGCTTTATCTTACTATGGTATCACGCAACTACAATCCATGTGTGGACCGAAATCCGCCATGTTTTGGGACTTGCGTACCTATCCCGGGATCCTTGGCGACTCGGTGCAACTGCCAGGGGAACGTGACATGCCATAATGAATGTAAGTGTGATGCTGATCATGCTACTAACTCCATTTACCTCTCAGCGCAACTTTCTGTCAGAACCGCCTAAGGTTTAGAACACAGGGTTGAAATTTTTATTAGAAGCCAGTTGTCCGAAGGCCGATTAGCGCTAACCCGGGGTTACATTTTGATCCGGGTCAGTTCTTCTTCTTTTGCTCAAAGGCATTTTCTCGGATAAGTTTCTCTTTTCCTTTTGGAGAGTCTATCATCAAATTATAGCCAAAAAATTAAACTGAATGTGTCTTTTAAGCTTTCATATCTGAATTCAAATTTGGTTCTAACCCTGGGTTATCTTAACCTGGCTTTGAACAACTCGGCCCAGCTGTACTTTCTACAGCCCCATTTGTGTGTTAGATTAAGGCTGATCACTTATTCGTTTCCTTAATTACTAGGGAGCTTTTAAAAGCAAACGCGTTTTTGAGGGACGCGCGTCAACCGGAAGTAACTGGCCTCTTCCCTTTCAATTTACTACTATTAATAGAGACGATTTTCTTGAGAATATGGAGAAAAACACTGCCAAAGAAAGATACAAATCCACGTACGGTTGACATGCGTCGCTCAAAAACATCTCATACTTAAGCAGCCTCTAATACTGAGTGCAGTCTTTTGCGCGAGAACTGTGAATTCATTCGACTTTGGCTCACTGGGAGAGGTTTGGTTGTCAGACCACTTTGCTTGTTTACAGGTTTACCGAATGAAACAGGCGATGATGTGTTTCTTGATGTGATTACCACTCTCAAGTTATTAACAAATAGGGCTTATGAATCTGAGTCTGGGTTAAATGTTTTTTCTTTTGTTACAGTTTTTGTTTTGTTTTGTTTGCTGATATTTTAAAGCAGCCTGTTCTAAGCCACTTGGAATGCAAAACGGTTCAATAAGAGACGATATGCTCAGCGCATCATCAGTTCATTCAAAAAGTAACGAAGCCTGGGGACGACTCCATCACTCGGGCGGAAGTTGGACGCCGAACACGGATGACAAAAATCAGTGGTTTCAAGTGAACTTTGACCCTGAGCTGAAACGTATCACTCATATCGCCACACAAGGATACGGACAATCGCAGTGGTGGTGGGTTAAGAAATATTTCGTCCAATTTAAAAGGCGAGGAGCTTCATCTCTTGAGACATACAAGGAAAACAATCAAAGAGTGGTAGGTTAACGCTATGACTAGGATCAATTTTCTCCTGACAATCAGTGATCGAACATCATCAAGAAAAAAGATTATGAGGATTATTAAAATGATCGCCAATGGGCAAATGTCTTATCTTCTATCAAATTCTTTTAACTACGCTTCTGTTCAGATGGATCTAATTAAAAATTTACAACTCAGACAATAAATTGCGAAATTGAGATCAGGAAACCATGTTTTAAGAATCAAAACCTGTAGACTGACTGTGTCTCAAAAATTCCTGAAAACGCTAGAATATGTCAACACAGTTCCGTAATGATATTGAGAACGAATTGCACTTCATCTTTGATTGTAGTCTTCCCAGCCACGCAAGAGATTATATGATGACATTACTTTTACCCGAACTTTACTAATCTCAATACAATAGATTAAAACATCGTTTGTTTAAGACCCATTCATTTGTGAGAGAACTAGGTTATTTCATTTTTGGAGGATTCCAGGGAAGAAAAATTTAGACTTCATAAATTATTGATCCTGATGATCTTCCGCTTTTTATTATGATCACTTTTCTTTTTATCTAGTTACTAATCTTTTTTTATTTTTACATTGTTTTCCTTTTATGCGAACACCATCTATGTAAATGGCACTGCGAAATATACGTTGTTGTTGTGTGAAAATCAGTCCGGAGAAATTTTATTTCGACACTGGGACTTAAAGGCTTAACATAAGACTTTAATTTCTTTTTTGACCGCGGCAGGATTAGCTCAGTCGGTAGAGCGCTTGACTGCAGTGCGGGAGGTCGCGGGTCGATTCCCGGGGCCGGACCAATACTCAGGGTCTTAAACTAACTGAGAAATGAAGGTACTCCCTTTGCCCTGCAAACGGGTAGACCTTCGCGTGACTCGGATGACCACGTAAAAGGGCGATCCCGTCCCCAGTAGGAGACGTAAAAATAGTGCCCCCAATTAGTACTTTCGTGCTAAATACATTGACACTCAAATAAAAAGTGCATTTTTTTTCTTTGTTTTAGGATTTTACCGGCAACGAAGACAGAGAAGCTGTAGTAACGAACCAGTTTGAAAATCCTTTCGAGACAATTGCTGTGCGCATAATGCCAACTGTGTGGTACGGAAGGATTGCCCTAAGAATTGAACTCTATGGATGTGACATTTAATAGAAGAAACACACTGCATGCGTCCCTCTAGTCTGCTACACAGCCGTTTTTAGTGTCGTCACGCAACGCTCCTCCCCAGGGAGGAGCATTGCGTGACGACACTAAAAACGGCTGTGTAGCAGACTAGCGTCCCTAAGGGTCTGCAAATAACCAGTAGTAGGAATGTCCTCCTCGTCTTGTCATCATATCCAGGCGTTGCCCAGTTCAGTGATTCTAACATCAATCGCTGGTTTCAGTAGGCTGTCAACAGGGTCTGAGAAGTACTGAAGCACCTTTCTTCACAGCTACAATCTGTTTACTGAGTGGTAACGCCTTGAAGTTCTCAGCACTGCCGGTAAAATCCTGAAGTTCTCAGCACTGAGAGAAAGCTGAAAACAGCTTTTCTTATTGCGTTTGTCCCGTTATCATGTAAATCAAAAAGATCAGAAGCCAAGTTTAGTGTTAAAGCTGTGGGGTAATTTGCCAAAAATTAAAATTGTTACAGGTCAGTTTTCTTAGTTAACAGCTTGTCTTATAAAGGCGTCTGTCGAGTATAGGAGGTGCATGCATGTTGTGAGGAATACAAGAGCAAGAGTTACTAACATCTTTAAGTTCACATGAAATTGTGATGCCTTAAAGTCACCCACAGAAGATCGACGTCGGTGTTTTCTCTTGTTCATGAACAGAAATAACAACATACATGGTGCTACTTACTGAGTACCGCACGAAAAGGAAAACTTATTTGACAGAACAAACACGCAGAAAAGGAGATGTATCGAAATTCTGCTTAATCCTCTGCACAATTCATTCTTCTTCGGCATCCGAGATTGACAGCTGAGATAACACTACTGAGAACGGGATTCACTAGCCTGCGTGGCAGGCGCAAAAAGGGGAGGGGGAGGGGAGAGGGAGAAAGGGAAAAGGGAAGGGAGCGCCTGCTCTAAGAGCCTATGTTTTTGCATAACGCCTACCAATTTTCTAGTAATCCGATTACGCTTACTGTCAATCAAGTGTCGCTACACTCGCCATTGCAGAAAAACGTTACACTCACCGACTAAAGAAATTCGCTTAGTTATTCAGATCCAGAAGGCACTTTGGAGAAAATTGGAACCCTTATTCAGCCGTAATAAAAAAAGCTTTACGCTTCAAAAGAGGTCAAAGAAATTGCGCTTGTATCAGAGGGCAAATCCTGCCGACCAGAAAACAATAACTACAGTCAATCGATACTATGTCATGACCTCTCAGTGTGAAACATGCGGCTAAAATAACATTTGCTCAGTATAAATGCAGAACCTTCCAGAGCACTACCCAGCAGACAAAAACAACTTTATTGGAAGAAGCAGCATTTTGGCATGAGGTAAAACCACCCTCTTTTATTGCTAAGTTACATCGGCGAATGTCATTGTTCGATAAATTGGCTAAATCACAAAGCACTCTTCGACATCCACGTCTACGGCTGCCATCTCGACTGTTTGTTGATTTGTGAAACGCGCATTTCAATATGTTACTCATTACGGTTCAGCCAATCAGGAATTTGCAGATATGAAAAAAGGGGGTTCTTAGAGCAGGCGTCCCCTCCCCCTCTCCCCAATCCCCCTCCCCTTTTTCCCTTCCTCCCTATCCCCTACCACCTACCCCTTTCGACGCCTGCTACGCAGGCTAGGATTCACCGCAATTCGAAACCGAGGCTGACTATCATGCAGCTAAGATAAGTTAAGCCTTCTTGTCATTCTCATGTACTAACTAAATTGGTACAGCCAAAAGGTGCGTCTGTTCGACTGAAATGATTACCTTAATGACAAATTTCCATATCCTTACATATAGTACAACTCATGTAATGTCAATCTTTTCTCACGGCGGAAAATGGTATGACCCTTCGAGTGGAGGCTGGACTTCGTGGAGGATATTTTACGGATTAGCCCCGCCTGCTTATGTGTTTACCAAACTTCAACAGACTTGTTTTGACTGAATAATTTGCTAAAATTAATGTTTGCTCATTTTTCACCTGTTCCTTCCATCCAAACGAAATTGTTATTTCGTCGGTGTTTCGTTTTGTGGCTCATAAGTGAACGGTATGTCTTCGTCTTTTAGAACTCAATTCAACCCCCGGATCCATTTCAAGGTTTACACAACAAAAAAATCGTAAATACGAGAAGGAAAGAGAAGCTTTAATGCTTCAGATTAAAATCGCTTTGGGGGGGCACTTGAACGCTACAGGAAAATGAAACGTTATAATTATCACTGTGGTGTTTAGTCAATAAAAAAGTTCAATACTGAATATATAGTTGTCTCCAGCTTGTAGCAAATATTGATTTAGCAAGTAAATTTCACTCCTTTTCATCTTGGTCGAACATTGCTGTCCCTCCGCTGTTCATCAATGAGATGATTCAAAGACTAAATTTTCAAAAAGAAAATGGGTTTTAATAATAAGCTTGTAACAAAAAAGCAAGATAAGCTCTCCGCTATTTCACGCAATGTCAGTTTTATTATTGTAATTTCCCTTTGCGTGGCAGAACTAGTTACTCCGTCAACACAACTTATTTGAAAACGGTGACATTTAATAAAACTGGTTATTGTGTGCACGTAACATAGACTGTTATACCTATCGACCCCTTAGACTCGTTCGAGGAGGCAAGTGATATTAAATGACCAAGATGTAAATCATACAAATTATAACCAAGATGGCTAAAACTTTACGACATCTCCTTCGACTAATTTTGGGACTGGGCAACAAGAACAATTCAAGAGGATAGGTTGATCTGCAGTTTGTCCTGAAACTCCTCAGCTTAAGATGGTAAGAAAGTAAATATTGTTTAATATTCAAACCGAGACAATACTGAAGAAGAAAATCTTTACATACCGCCGATTCTTTCCAGCTGAAAATCCCTTATCACATTCTAAAATGCAAATGACTGAATTTTGATCTGAAAATTGGTCTTAGTCCTCGTATAAATTAAATTAATTTTTTCACTAGAAAACAAGGGGGGATCATTCCAAACATAATCAATACTTGCCAGAAAAAAAGGGTTATGATTTCTTGCATGTTTTGTCTGCAAACCGTCACCAGTTCGTCGAACTTTGCGATGATAATTGGCCACGTCACATCTAAAGCAAGTGAAGACCATAAGGGTTAATTGTCAATGGTCCAAAAAGAAAGAAAGTCGAAAGTCGAGTAAGTTTCACATCGTAGTCGCGTCGTGGATGCACGGACGGCAAAGAAATGTACCTTAAGATTCTGATGCACCAGCAGATTTAAATACAATGAAGCCTTCATGGCAGGCGTTGGAAAGGGAAAGGGATGGGATTGTGGGCGCGTGAGCATGTGCGAGGGAGGAGTGAGGAGGGGTTTCCATCCCTCCCCCCATAAACCGAAATCCCTTCCCCTCCCTTAGGTGTCGTACCCCTGCCTCGCATGCTAAATGTAACGACAAACTGTAATTCTCGTTGCCGTCGCCGTTTTGTCAGCCTCGTCCCTACGGTTTTTCCTTGAAGCCCTGGGGACCAGGCTGCGTTGTGGTTGGAGGCACGCGTAAGCAGACGTGCTGCACGATTCTCTCGCGCATAAACTCATATTTTTGCTAGCTTTTTGGTAACTACTCTAGCTATGAGTATATATTGGCACAGAGTCTGGAAGGACTTAATAAGGAGTTGAAAAATGTTTTACTTGACATCGTGATAAAATTATATTGAATCTAAAGAATTGTTAGATATACCACTTTTTTTTTGTAATTTATTGTATTCCTCATGTTATGTTATTTCTTATTTATTTAACTTTATGTACTTTAGTCTCTTTCTCTTTTTCTTTAGGATACTGTATAAAAGCGTTGAATTTGTAGTCCGACCAGCCTCGGCTATCTATGCTACCTGCGTGTTGGTCTAAATTGTAATTTAAATCATTTTAAAGACTTTGCTGTTATTTTTGTTGTTTTTTTATCATTCGTACTAATGCCACCAATAAGTGGCAGGTGCGCATGCTCTATAGTAACTCATAATGACCTTCATTACAGCCGACGCTATTGGTGACCAGTCTCCTTGCTATACTGTCTTTTCAAATTGCTGAGCCGTGTCGCCTTCTTGAACCCGTGAGTCACCACAAACTGGTCGGTCACGTGATGAGAACGATTCCAGGCATCTGTTTCGAGAAATGTACCTATTACTGCGAGCTTAACATCAAATGCATCAGTGTCAATTATCTTACAAAAGCCAAAGAATGTGAATTGAACTATGCAAGTAAAGAAATGTTTCCATCTTCCTTCGAGAAGACGACGGACTCACTTTATGTGAACAATATCAGAAAGGAGAACAACGACATAGATCCATGTAGATCGCTGACCTGTCTACACGGAGGCTCGTGTTATCCGCTCCCAAAACCATGGTGCTCATGTCTAGATGGTTTCAATGGTTCCACATGTCAAAGTAGGTAGCAAGAAGACATCAATGCGTACAGTTTTGTGTGAAAAGAATTTCTTGAATCGGGAACCGGGATGGTACAAAATCAGAAACTCAAATTAACTGATGCAATATTCCAACAGTAGCCTTATTCCAAATAAGGGATGTGAATTAAATCATAATTCCGAGCGAAGCTAGGAAAATCATGATTTCCCAATTTGGTACAACTGTAGCTTAAATCACCGCTGTAAAACACGATCTACCAAATAAAAAACAACCCTCCTAAACGCCTATCATTTTTCAATGTCTCTCTTAAATTTTATCTAAATCGCCTCTAAAACAGCCGAGATATAAGCGTTTTAAAAGATGTAGCACAAGGAAAATTTTGCCTTATGAATTTACTCATAGATTGGTGTCCCCAAAGACGGCGCCCCTTCCATATACGTACAGAAAGTCTAAGTTTAAGTTAACCTTTAGCTGACTTCAACTGCTTTTCGTTTCGTTCACAGTAGAACAGCTATTAGGTGCGCCTCTGAGAAATCCCTTTTTAAAAGACTCTTGTTTGGTAAATTTGTCAGTTAATGATAATTTGTCTAACTGGCCCTGGTTGTTTAAACGTAAGATAGCGGTATCCACCAGATCAATCACTATCCAGTCGATAAGTATTAGAGAAACCAATTGCGCTATCCAGTGGTTAAAGATCATATCCAGTGGATAGCGTTATCGGCCTCTTTTGTACAACGGGGGTCTGTTTTTTACTGGTATATTAGCCATTCTTAAGTAGCCCAAGAGACCGAGTCAGTGTTCTGGCAAATCATTGTACTATGTGACTGTTCTGGAAACGCTATAGCCCCTCCTTCATGTTGAGAGATGAATTTAAAGGGGTTGTGTCACGGGAGTCCAGTTCATTTTGTTTTAATTTTGCCAATTACTCTCCCTCAATCTCTATGGAACTTAAAGTAAGCAAAGAAATTACATGTAAATGACAAAATCAGAGATCCGAGACAAACAAATATGTCTCCTGAGTTATTTTTGAAGTGGCAGGCAGCAGGGATCAACTTTGAAAAACTGTTAGGCTGAACAGTTTTCAAAAACCTTAATTTCAATCCGTTTCAATCTTAATCAGTTTTGCCCATCTGTGGCATTTGTTGTTTCTGTTACGTTATTTTAACCTTCCTGTAAAGTTTTGAGCGGTTATTTTGATGTTTCTCGTAATTCAACGGGCATTTTGGAATTTCCTAATTTGGCTGAATTTCGTGACACAGCTCCGAGTTTAACATAAAATTCATCCCCCAAATAGTCCCATAATGCAATTCAACACAAGACCAACCCAAGCTAAAGTCTCAAGCGCATCCTCTGAATGTCCAATACCTCTATCCTCAATAAAATTAATCCTTTCAGGTAGAGCAACCCTGAATAGTTTATCATTGGTAGTATCCCCATAGGGAGACAGCCGACTGCCTTTTAGCCCTTACCGAAAGAACTTAAGCCCATGGCCAGGTCAAACGTCAAAATTCACATGTGACGAACCTAGCGAGAATAATAGATTTTGGCCATGTAGCATTAGGTTCTTCTCATAAGAAATTCGGCGTTTGACCCGGGCATTGATCTGTAAGCAAAACCCAAGAAGACTTCTTACATTATACTATTTTTTTTAGATGTTTTATTAGAGAGCTTAGGGATTGAAGACGATACCATCATTGGAGATGGTCAGCTGACATCCAGTTCAGCAGATTCCGGCCACGAGGCCTGGAAAGGAAGACTTCATGGTAAAGGGAGCTGGAAACCAGGGAAAGGTGATCGTGCCCCAGTCTACAAAGTGGCATTCAATTCACCAGTCAACATAAGTTACATAGCAACACAGGGTGCCCAGGATGATGACTGCTGGGTGACGTCATTCATGATAAAATACAAATTGGGACACAGTCAACACGACTTCAAAAACTATTCTCAGGTAGGAAATATATAGAAATTATTTTATGTGTGTACATAACTTCAATACAGCTATTAGAGTGATTTTACTTTACCCGTGAAATAGGTAGTAGATTACTACACACTACTTTGCTCTAGTTGTTAGTATCCGTTTCAAGGGTCGAGTAAAATCACTCTGTCAGAACTTAAGTTTTACATGCCCGGAGTATGCGTTTAGTGTTATCGTGGGAATGATGGAGCGTATCCAAAGACAAGACAATCCGGTTATTTTTATGTTTCACTCAGCTTGGTAGTTCCCACTGTTTGAATTTCGATAGACTTTCGTGACGCAGCTCCTTGAAACCGTACCAATGCGGCAACGATGTTCAGTAAGGAGCGTTTACGGCTTTTCGGATAATAAGTGGTTGTAAGGACGGAATGCTATAAATTCGTTTTCGGTCCTACTAAAATGAAAGATTCATTCAGTGTGACACCCAAGAGAAAATTAAGAAGCTTAGGCAACGACGACGACGACGGCAACGAGAATGGGTTTAGATTAGCAAAACAACAACTTTGAACGCGCTTCACGCTTTTTGTCCATTTCTTTGTCGTCGTTGCACGACTACAACGTGAAAGTGCTTAAATTCACGTTTTGTCGAGGACGGGAACACAACTTGAGACAACAAATTTCTTTTTCTTTTCCTGAACTTTGATACAGTCCTTTAGAATTCAACTCCAAAAGCATTTGCCAATATTTGTCGAGGTAAACGAGATGGAATAAGCGCAAAAAAGTTTGAAGCAGCGCGAATTCACTTTTTAGGCGATAAGTGACTGTTCCACCAAAGTTATAATTTATTTTTAGACCAATCAAATGCTTAAATCAATCGGAAGTTGGTTCCCGAAGAGATCCGCAATCTTTTATCCACTGTTGTCAAGAGGTGAAAATGGAACACATGCTCTGTTAGTGTATCGCCATTACAATATACGCATTAATTGCTTTCAGCGCAGTCACGTGTGTACTCCGTTGCAACCAATCTATTAAGATGTGCGAACGTTCCAGGAATAATTGGACTTCCGTTTAATTACTACCTCTAAAAATAACTTGAGTGAAATTCACATATCCCAGACAACGCCCTAATATTTCCTCTCTGTTTCATTATCGACTCTCTTGGACACCTCACTGCTACATTGCCCACACAGACATAATAAAGAAACTACATTTTGATACATTCTGATAAGAGAAACACCGTTACTTTCCTTTTTCTCTCCTGCAGATTTTCTCAGGAAACAATGATAAGGACACGGTTGTTTATCATCCTCTAAGACAGGGTCACCTCGCTAACGTGACAGATCTCCATATTTTTCCATTGACCTACCACAATTGCACAGCCCTCAGACTGGGGCTGTATAAGTAATGTAATTATTGCAAGTATTTATCGCACAGGACACCACACAAAAAATAAAGCTTATTCATTATGGATGTACATGTTAGTTATTAGAGACCATAATTTAGATTCTAAGACGAGGGCGACTATGAGTACGAGATTTTCTCAACAGAGAGTTTAAGCCTCACGTATACTGCAAACGGAAAACGTCAGATTCAAGTTTACAATTTCTCAAAATAGAAAATAAGCTGATAAAAACAGCTCAAAACAGTTCTAATGGATAAAACGTTGCGTGAAACTGCTAAATTATGTGTAGATTTAATGAACCGTAAACGACTAGTAAAGGAGAAACTTGGTCACTTGAAACAAATTCGCGTTACTTTGCCTTTTTGACGCAAACGTGATCAATACTTAGTAGTGCTCACGCCTGAGCCAGCGTCATTTTGGCGGGAAAACGTGGTAGCCGTCGTCATCCTACTAGGAGTTTTTCAGTATCATAACATGGCCGAAAAGTTTAATTCTGGATTTTAATATTAGGGAAACAGCGGAGAACCGACTTTGGTATAATATGCACCTAGGGAGCAAACCATTCTTCAGAAGAACTTGGGCCATCGTAGGTTAATCAAAATTAATAAAACACAAACAGTAGCCACTTTAGGTCTCCTTTGAAAATGTATGTTGGCTAACATACAAAACGTCAAGTTTAAAAAAAAGGCGAAAGTTGACAATGTTTATCACTGCTTTTCGTGTTTTATTTTTTATTAAACTTAGTTCAAGTTCAAGTTTCAATTTTATTTACAAAATCATAAATAAAAATTACAAAATAGCACTAGCCCGCAAAACAGTTAAACTAAAAGTGCGCATGCCAGATTGCATAATCAGTGGTAAGCAAATTAAATTCCTCAGCTCATTGCAAAATTGCCTTTTCCGTAAAACTTTGAGCTTAATGAAGGGCGCGAGGAAGGTGCAGGAGTTCTGGCGCTATCATGGTAAGCCCTCTAAGGCTGGTCCGTTCCTGTTTTCAGTCATCCTCTTTGACCCTCTCAGGAGCTCACAGCCCGAAGCGAGCAACTCCCATACTAAAAAAGCGGGCTATGCGCATCATTTTTCCTCTTTGCTCATATAATGAGGCCTTGGTTGAATCAGGAGTCACTAAACTTTCAGATCGCTGCCAAGAACTAGTTGATAAACTGTTTAAGAATGTTTTACAGAACGAACAGAACAAGCTCCATGAACTTCTTCCTGCTCGCAACACATGTACCTTTAACCTAAGAAATATGCGTAAGTTAAAGCCAGCTTTTAAGACGAACAGGTTTCGTAGTAGTTTTATTACCTTTAACGCCCTTAAACGGTTTTAGTAGATTTTTTAAACCTCTTCTATACATATTTTTTTAGAACATATATATAGTGTCCTTATTTGCTGTTTTAAATTACTGCTAGTCTTTTTAATGTAAATTATCAATATTCAATTTGTTGCAAATAATCGTATAATTCAACTTTTAGTTGCAAATCGGTTTTTAATAAACTATCTATCTATCTATCTATCTATCTATCTATCTATCTATCTATCTATCTATCTCTCTACTAGGCCTATGTCGCGGCGTTTTTACAGACCATTTATTTTTAGACACATTTTAGGGCACTTTTTCCCCCGAAGATAGAATCTCCACCATGTCTATGAGTACGAGATATCAAAAAGGAAAACGAAACGTTATTAAAAGGCAAAAAATACAATTTTTAGGTCTGTAGGTTTTGCTGACTGGTTTGTGAAATTTAGAAGAAATTCGCGCCAAAAAAGTTCTGAAAAAAATTGGTCCGGGAAAAACGCCGTGACACGAGCGCATGGAAGTTGCTTGCTACGGGTTTTTGGCACCTGACTCTCTTCCTTGCGGACACCTCTAGATCTAAACGACGAGTGCGTCCCTGGGCAATGATTGTATTAATTAATTACACTTAATTGATTTGAAATAAATGTATGAAAAAAAAAACAACCTCTTGCTCTGTCAGAAAACATGGCGCTATTCCCTTCTAGCGGCACAAGCATTCCCATTACTATCCGTACAGCTCGAGTCTCATTGCTATACAGGAATACCACCTTTCTGGGTGGATGCGTATCATAATAGCTTGGATTGGAGCTGCTAACGTGTTTTTAACAACTGTGTTCTTGTCCTCATTTGCCTGGTATGACTGTTTTAATGCAAAACAACACAAGTATAACTAAAAGAGCCGATTAATACCGTCAAACCCCGTTAAAGGGGTTAAATTTAGTAGGCTACGAGTAGTCCGCATTTTTCCTCAGGGATAGTAGAGCGAGCGAAACGCGAGCGCGCGAGAAAATCACCCCACGCTCGTTCTACTATCGCTGAGGACAAATGGGGGACTATTCGTAGTCTAGAATTTAGAGAAGTAGAAAAGTAACTAAACGCTTATGGCAGAAATAACAAATTTGAGGCCGCAATCGCATCAAGAACTTCCCGGCGGCATAGAAACTTTTTAAGAAAAAGCCCATTACAGAATCCTTTTTGCTCTTTATGATTGTGCTCTATTGCGGCGTGTTTAGTTTTTCTTCAGCGTCTTTTTGTGCCGTAACATCCTTATTCCGAACTCAACCTGGACGCCATCTTAGCGCTGAGATATAAAAACGTTGACATAGCGCACAATTATATATTAATGGTAACCTTTCACGGCTAACATGATGAGTAATTTGTCAGCCATGATTTCATGGTACTAACAATGATGATTAGAACTGATGTGTAACCATTTGGCGGTGTATAAAAAGCGGTGGTGATTGCTATCTTGCTCACACAAGATAGGGTTGCAACTACCTGTACGCCAGCCTATGTACCCGTGTGCGTACCTCAAAAATGTCGAAGATATAAATAAAAAACACAAACAAGATACAAAAACAAAGCAAAGGAACGAGGTAAATAAGAAACTACCGAAAAACTGTACATTTATATCTGTAACTACCCTTTAATTTCTTTCAAAATAATCAGTTTTTCAAACAAAATGTGGTATTTTCCCCGATCCTGCCACCCGCCAAAGCCGCAACGTCTGCCTGAGGAATACGGTCTTAAGAGTAAGGATCGAAAACAGAAAACTCTTGAAAGTTTCTACCATCAAGGACAAAATTCTTGAGGACACTTTTGCATTTGTGGGGCTTTTTTCCCAAGCCCTGCACCCTTGTTTTGTATACCCTACCTGCCCCATTCCCCATTGCGAGGAGGAACGTCACAAACAGAAATTCCATTCTGATGACGTAAGTTAATGTTTACAGAATTTTTCCGAGTTTTCAAATGCAAATTTGTTCAGGGTCGATTTTGGAGGTGTTCATTTGCAAAGGGAGAACTCCAAGAACTTTTCGCAAAGGATGATTCACTGTTTACTTTGCCTTTGGGCATCCATTCGTAAAATTAAAAAAATTTATCGTCCAATACTTTACCGGATTCAGGACAGTCCCAAGCCCTGCACCGCTGTTTTGTAAACGTCCCCAGCGACGAGGAGCGAGAAGAAACATCTGTTTTGGTAGGCTATATTTTGTACCTTTCTGTCCGTTACAAGTTGGTTATTAACGAACCACTGCAAGGAGAAACTTGTCACCCAGCAACCGTCATTTGGCGCACCTTGGGTCGCTATGGCACTAACATTGGTCACGGAAGTAAAATTTATCTTGATGTATTCAGTGTTTTTATCGTCCATAGGCATCCAACAGGAATTTCTATTTAGCCTCGCCTTTCTCGCCTCGTAGCCTGCCTTAAATGTCGAAGCTGTAATCTTGTCGTCTGGAATGGCTCCACTTTCCATACCAAGGGCTGATTGAGAAACTAATGAGAAGTAATGTTTTTTTTTTTTTTTTTTTCAGATCGGTCTTCTAGTTAAGTGTCGAAAACAATTTCGCGATTTCTTTGGTTATACAAGAAGGAAACGCATTTCACACCCCTCTGTAACAGACCGTGCTGGATCTATATATTCAGAGGGGTTTCGGAGCAAAAAATCACCGGGTTTACTTATTTTCCACTAGGTTTTCTTCTTAGTTAGTTAAAAGAGGTGGCAGAAAATAGAGGCTCTATGAACAGGCTATCATTGGGTAGACTGAATTATACAACTAGGCAGGGTTTCTCTGGGTCAATTAGAATACAACGGGTGTCATTTCCAAGGCTTTCTGATAACTTAAAATGTCTTGTGACACTTGTCAGTTAATTTGTAGGAAGTCATTATCCCCTTCTGGTGTCATTGGTCAAAGTAATCCCTTCTAATCCTGTTTTGTGTCTCTTGAGCAAATATTGCTTTATTCATAGGAAACATTATTGTTTCTTTTGTGGCAATATTGAGAAGAAGGATAACCATCCCAGCCGATTTAACTCAAGAAAGCGTCTATATGAGAAAACGTTTATCCCTTTGCCTGATCCAACAACGCTCGGTATGCTCTGATTGTCTCGCCTTGACAGAGTTGACCCGGATGAGGGAGCCAACTTGTTTATACGGAGAAAAGTTCGCACGGCTTAAGGTATCAGCCACCCTTAAAATTGCCATTTTTCCATTTGCTAATAAAAGAAAAGCAAACCCACTTGTCAAAAATCTCAGACACGGTTTTTTAGTGGAACGTGTTTAGAAGCGAATGCGGTGTTAATTGTTTTCTTCCGTTTATTTCCGGCGGGAGTGGAACATGATTTATAGAGACGTGTACTTTTACACAAAGCGTTCCAATTTCGAAACACATTTAAGTAAATCGTTTTTGTTAGTTCAAATCCATAATCTGGAATTGTGATTATGGATTTTAAAAGCTTAAAAGCTTTTAAAAAATATATGGTTTATAGGGGTTTTTACAAAAACAACTAACGCTACAGTGATCCGCGCGCGGACTGTCCTGAAGGGTGGCTGATACCTTAACATGCGAGCAAGTTCTTCTGGGCGCCCTGGCGGTTGGGCGGGAACAGGAGTGAATAAATTGAATATCTGCATCGAAAAAGTCGATGCGAAATGCTGATTGACGGAGATGACATAATTAATGACATCATTACCCTTAGCCCGTGTTTTTTAATGCTTGATAATTCGCGCTAGTTTCCGCTGCCCGCTGATTCGCGGAAATCTGACAGCTCAGTCCGACGGGGAGCAACAGGGGAATTGGAGGTGGAATTCAAATTCCAGCGACGGAGTTGCAAGCTCTCCTTTCTTTTCCCGTCCTCCCCCCCCCCCCCCCCCCCGCCGCCGGAGCGCCCCGGAAATCTTGCTCGCAGGCGAACACGGTTAAGAGGGTGAACCTTGCTTCTTCTTGTTTCTCATGTAAACGATTCACCACGTTTTGTAAGGAAATGTATGAAATGTTGGCTCGCCCAGGGTATCAGTAGGTAGGCGGGTGATCCCTCTACCCGCGTGTCATTTTTTCTGGTATAAAGGAATTCTAACACGCAAACTATCCAATAGGCTTATTTAAACTCTAAGCAAAAAGGTGCACCGTCACTTTGGAGAAACTCTGTTTGCGCTATCATGAGAGGTGGAAATGTCAGCTATTGAATCATTAATTAAGGGAAGCCAATTACCGATTCGAAATTTCCCAAGATTTGTCATTTAAGACAAGAGAATTTAACCTACTTTAACAAGGAAATCTTCTTACTTTCACAATGAAGTCCGCTGAATCTGGCATGACACCGGCACATCACAGTCGGTCTAGTGACACACGTTCCTCCATTCTCACAGCGCATGCTGTTACAAGGGTGATACTCGCGAATCACCATTTCCATGTAGATCGTTCCTTTCTGTTTTACAAAGTCGCCAGGAAAAAAACTTTTCGAAGCGTTATTTAACTGGCAGATTTGGAGTGTTGGTACGTAATTGACACTGAAGCACTGCAAATCTAGCTCACAAGAATATGTACAGCTCTCAAAACGCTTATTCTTCAGGGTCTGTAATGCGTGTCCAACGAGCGCGTGATTTTTATATGAAACATTGGCACGGCAACTGTTGAAGCCTACGGTCGTCTTAGAAACGAGGCTGATCAAAAAAAGGGTGAATTCCAAATATGGTAATAGCGGTGACATCCTTGCCAAGAAACAGGATTAATCAAATGACCTGGGGAAAACAAAACCGTAAGCCGTTATTTCAGATAATTATCAATGCATGCGAAAAGGGCGCGATTTTTATACTTTTTACGATATTCATTATTTAGCCGTTGACTGCCTTCCAAGTCAGTTGGATCCTAAGCTGGGAATGAGTTTGCTTGAGGACTATAGAAAGCTTAATTAGTTACTATGCCTGTAACTATTACTTTTCTATGCCTAAACCTCCCAAAATATAGACTTGGTAGCTAGTAAATGAAATTACTACGCACTTTATAGGAGTTTTCAGCTAATTGTAAAACCATTCCAAAATTGTCAACCTATAGGTCGCTAATCGATTCTAGTAAGACAATTATTGAAAATACAATAAAATATTGCAGTTCTTAGAATATTAGCATGGACTGGCCGCTGTTGTATTTACAAATTGTAATTTTCTGCTACACATTTAACCTTTCTTTAGACAATACTAAAAATTTTGAATAAGCTTTGCCCCATATCAGGGGCATTTACACACATTTAAAAACACTTTTTACTATCCGAGAACTTTTATGGAACGTTATAGGATAAAATTATTATCTTTTCATCTTAGGTTTGATTCTGTTCGAAACTATCAGGGCTCCATCCTTTCCCGAAAATTGTAGATTCAATTTAACGTTTTACATTTTTTCTAATTCTTCTCTACATAAAATTTTTAACCCGAAAATTTAGGTTTCCTTTTATTACGAAAAATAGCCAACCTGGGGATTAAATTATTAAACTACTTTAACATCCAACCGTCATCTAGCGTAAAAAAAATATTTGCTTCTCCGAACAATATTTTAAAAAAAAGTCGTTGAATATTATCATTTGAAATTCATGTCTGCTGATTCAAAACTTATCCTGTTATCAAAATTTTGGACTTTTTAGCAACGTTCCAAAAAAAAAAAAACAAAAAAAAGTAAAGAATTTGAAACATGTCTGCTGATCAAGTCAAAATTTTGGACCTTCAACGTTCCAAAAAAGAATTAAAAATCAAGCTAGTCCCTGCTTTTTGTGATACCAGCAGTTTCGACGTCAGTAAACATTGTCAATTAACGTGTAAATGAAGTTGCTTAAGAAAGTAATTATTTCAGCACATCTGAATTAACGCAAAAAATACTTTTTGGATTCAGGTATATGCCCTGTATTCACTGGCTCACGACATTCGCTCAGGCTTTAGGGACAGAAAACCGTCTAGAGAATATATCTACTGCAATACTTATTCAAAGTTTTGAGATCGAATATTCTCGATTACACATCGACCAAAGCGGACTGAAACTCAGGACGGTAGTGTATATGGGCATTGGAATAAAACACGTCAGTGATTGTATTTTGAACATTACCTAAAATTCATACGCGAATGAGCCGTTACACTTTGTAGTAGCTTTTTGAGTGGTTGGAGATATGCGAGATCGAGTCGGGTGATTAATTTTGTGATACAAGAATATGTTTTCCTAAACGGTTGGAACTGATTGCTATTCAAAGCGTTAAGGAAATTGTAAAGGACGTATCGACGCATAATTCTTGCTTTAATATAATAAAGATTTACCCTACCTTACTAATAGAGGTACATGCAAGCATTGGTCGTCAATCGCTCTCAGACACGCCCTCTCAAGAATCAATAATAAAACTTCCGTTTAGGACTTCTGCTAGCTGACTTCTGCGAGTTTGCTTAGTTGTATTGACAGAAAGATCTCAGACTTGAAATCTTACGATGGACGGCTTCAAGGGCATTTCCTTCAAAAGAAAAACAAACTAAATAACTTGTCGAAGGATTATTAAATTTTTGCACCCTCACATCAACAAATATCGCAGAAATCTTTACTTAGCTGCAAAGAAAAAGAAATATTGTCAAACTAGATGACACGTAGAAGCATAGAAACGTCTTCCCTCGTGCTACTTATATCTTTTTTTAGGGTAACGAAATATTCTCTGCGCGATATTTTCAGTAGACTTAAGTTTAACTAAGTTAGTCTTGAAGTAAATGACCACAGTACTAGGATGTTATATTTAGTTCAAAAGCTGAGGCTGTCAATCCCGAAACTCCAACCACTGAAGTTATGATCGAAGTTTTGAAAGATTTAACAGATTTTCCTTGTTTCTTGGGTGAGTGGCATGTTGGGGCCAGCACCAGTCGCTCTGTATTTTGTGATTCTTTCATGATCTTTTCAGGCTGGCATCCATATCTCAGGGATTCAAAAAGGAAATATGACGTTATTAAACTGACCCAATAAATTATTAACCGGCTGAGCGAGTTGTAAGTTTTTATAAAAAAAGAAAGAATAAATTAGATTGCCGTAGCATTTGTTTGTGATTGGCCAAAAAACCTCGTTGCATTTTTTGATCTACCAATGAGAAGGAAGACAATAATCCGATCATGACGTGTGGGCTGGTTTTTCCCGCGCCTGGTGCGGGAATTCTGTAATATGATAATCAGACAACAACAATAATGATCTCTGCCGCATATTTCTTTTATTTACCCTCGGCAGTAATTTTATATAGCGCAACGGCTAGTGGGGCAGAGCAAGTGTCTAAAATAAATCATTTATAATTGAAACATTACAGCTTGAAGATTCCCAACTAGTCTGCTACACAGCCGTTTTTAGTGTCGTCACGCAACGCTCCTTCCCACTAACGGCTGCTGAAAACCGAACTACATTCCTTTCCCGTGATTAGCCAATTTAGCCGTTAGTGGGAGGAGCGTTGCGTGACGACACTAAAAACGGTTGTGTAGTAGACTAGAAGCGAACCAGTTGGCTACGACAAGCGTGGTCGAGGATATGAACTAGTGACTACAGTAGTACAAATACAGATAGTGGTCAGAGTGCCAATGAACACGGGGCGTAACTCCAAGTCCAGTGCCCTAATCGCTCGGCCACTCGCGCTGTCCATATATAGGCTTAGGATAACGCCGCAAAACTATGAATTAACGCATCTGCTCCAATAAGTCCAATCAGGATAGGCGCCGATGCGCTGGCTTGCGGCGGCAATTTGAGAGCGGCGCTTTTACGGGATAGGCGCTAATATTCAAATTTCGCATTACCGAATAGATCAGCACCGCTTGCTCTTTCTTGAGTCCTTTTCCTCGGTCCTTAGTTAGTTGCTCAAAACTAATAAGAACCGCGACAGAAGCGTAACTAAAGTTTACTCCGATACGCAGCCTCTTTAGTCTCTCGGCGCGCGATAGTTATCGCTCACAACTCGATCAAAAACAAAAACACGCCGCTGCTGGTTGTACAACGATGCATACCTTAACCTCAGGATCAATCTTGGACATATTTTTAAAATGAGGCAAACCGGTCTCGACTCCGCGCTAACTTTTCGGGCCTCACGCTATCAAATTACCGTTTAAGGGTTGATTTCCACTGTCGGGTAATTTTTCCGTGCGTAAATGAAATAAAGGCAATGCATGAAAGGCCACGCGTAAACGTAAAAGTTGAGCGAGGTTCAACTTTAACGTATATACGTGACCTTCCTTACAATGTCTATTTCATTTACGCGCGTAAAATTTATGTGCGTACGCACGGTAAAATTACGCGACAATAGAAATCCACCTTTCAGGAGGTTATCAGGGGCTTTGTCTGTCGCCATAGGAACGTACCAAGATGATGAGGGATTTGTTGAACATTTTTTTCTCTCCACAAAGACATAAATAAATAGATGTGCATACATTTCAAAATGCACCATACAAGCAAGCAACTACTCGGGGTATTGTGCTTGAAGTGTTATTGTGAAACAATGTAAAGTCATTTCCCGCCTAAACATAACGCACGAATCTGAAAAGGACGAAAGCCATGTTTGCTATCCTTACTAGATTGTTTTTACAAACAGGATAACTTGCAAGAGTAAACGTCAGTCCTTATGATTTATTTAAAATGAAATTCTATTTTCTGCATCGTAAAATTATGCATGATTACGACAACTACTGAGCAGGGTATTGTGCTTGAATTGTTATTGTGAAACAATATAAATTGTTTGTCATATTGGTTTAGTTCCAGATAGCGGTGCGATGTAAGTCGCGCTAACTTGGTTCTGGCGCATAGTTCCCAAGTGAAGCTACAGATACACTCTTCGGAATCGCTGAGAACTGGTAAGTGCTGCAATACTTTAACGCTTTTGGTGCCAATTTTAAAAATGTTGGTGTATTGTTTCACCTCTGCGTGTCACTGTGTTAATAATCAACTTCGTAATTCTTATAGAAGGACTTTCATCACTTGGTCAGAAATTTTTATTGGGGGCGGGAAAAAAATGTAGTCCGTAACTTCGGTGAAACTATACAAACTCTCAAGTTTTGGCAATCAGTATTAGTTTTTGGTGTTTCTTGTGATAGAATTAGTTCTCCTTTGCGGAATGATCATGATTGTTCGTCATTAAAATAAGCATTAGAGTCAAAGATATCAAATGTATCAAGAAACTGTAGTACTTATTCAAACTTGCGGTCGTTTTGGAGGAACGTTGAGCTGTAGCTGTAGCCGCGTAGTGTATCGCATTCTCAATTAACGCTGCATCATATCTACATAGGCCCAGTACGCACTTCAAATACGACACTTTGCTCTTATGAGAGATAGTTTCATGCACTTTGCTAATATAATATTTTGATTGAAAATAATAATAATAATAATCGTAAAATTGGTGGGCCAAAATACTAGCCACATTATATACCAGTCAGACAGTGTTTGACAATCCCACTTACACAAGTCTCCAAAAATACGCCAGTATTACGAGCACTTCATTTTGCCCCAATGGAAGCCGAAACTTCACAAAATCTCTACCTCTATAAGATGTGGATACTTATTGCCTTTATCCCTCTAGTGTCCGCATTTAAGGAGTTTTGACCAAACAACGTGGGCCGAATTCATTCTTTACACTATTCGTGATATAACGCATTTTTGGGCTTTTGAAAGAGTTTTCTTTTCCTATTCTTGAACAAGGGAGGAACATTAGTTGACGTTTTTTGACACAATTGTAAACAAATCCATCTATCTGTGACCTTCTTATTGTTCTCCTATCTCTACAACTTCAAACTTTCCTTACTTATCTGTACTATATGTTTTAATGACGTTTTGACAAGACACGCAAGGGAGTTAAGTGTAAATTTAATTTATTTATCTCGAAGCTTCATTGCCACACTTTCAGCCGTTAGAGGATAACTGAAGATTGTTGCAACACACTTTTGAAAGCGTCCCAATACCACGTCAGAGCGCGAAAAAGTACAAGTAATTAAATTAACATAATTACCACGAAATTTGATTGTTCTATCCCTTTCTAGAAAACTATTATCATAAATTATCCTACAACACTTTCATTAAAACTAACCGGTTATCAGGTCGTACCAACTCGGAAAACATTTTTGTGAGAAATGTTGCACCAACAAGTTAATATGATTGGCCAGTTTCCCAATAATAATGACCCGCGGCTCAAGAAATGATTCCAAAGCCCAGTTATAATATTCACGGAATGCCGACGGCTCGCGTTTGAATAACTATGAGTGATTTCTATTTCCGCGCAATCCACGCATATTTGAGGACAACTGACGAGGACTTAGCGCTAAGGTAAGTAGCTTATAAGGCAAAAGTAGGTGTGTTGCCCCGTTAAATAGCACGATCTTATCTCACGAGTGTACTATAGCTACTTCAGCGCACTCAGTTTGGAAGTAAACGCAACATAATATTTGTTTTCATCAAAGACGGTACTTCCATTTCCACTTGACATCACTAAAGTTCTTTCGCAACTCGTGAATTGTCAGTTTTGCGGAGATTTTGAATTGTCAACTTGTATAGGCGATGTAAGCTTTGTTTTACTCTTTAAAGTCGAGATGAGCTTAGCCCCTCTTAAGAAACGCTATTATGAACAAGATGGAAATTTAAGTTTGAGATCTAAGTTGTGTTATTACTGAAGCAAGTGCAGTTCCAGTGTTCTAATCAAACCTCAAAAATGTAAAAATTCCATATTACAGCACGGTTCATTACTCGGAATTTCTATTTGGTAAGGACAAGATAGGTCATTTTCTTGAGCGATTTACAATTAAATAAGTAAGGGAAAGTTTAAGCCCTGCAGTACTTTTTGACGTCATTACTTTTGCGCGCGGCAGTCACGTTTTCTAAATTCATTAATTAAATACATTTTCTTAATAGCAAGGACACTTATTTAACAAAAAAAAAAAAAAAACAAAAGACACTGAATACGCTTCGGCTGAGTAACGACGGATGCCAAGTTCGAACTTCCGTAGCCACAAGCTCTTCACAGCTACAGTATTTCAATCTTCTGATCATGTCGACAGTTCCTCAGCAAACAGTACGCTGCAAGAGGTAATTCTTGACCGAAAGCCGCGCTCATCAAAAAGGTACTGAATTACAAAGTAAAAACTTAGAAATGGGTTTACTCAGTGTTTACATTACAAACTGTCTGAGTAGCTTCTGAGCACATTATGCTAAAACAAACAATGATATAATTTTGTTCTTAAATGATCCACTAGGATCAAAGCCTTTCAACAACACCGGTGTTGTGGCAGAATGTAATGTCATTCTTGTTGAATGTGGGGGCTACTTTGATTCTATGCAAACTTATATTACTTGCACTGGTAACTTTCTTTCGTACCGCCAAAATAAATGTATTTTCTTGTCCGAAAAACAAGCACCTTTTGTTTTCCAAGCTAACGAAGATTGGTGTGAATTTCATTTCTTCAAACCATCTTCGTCGACTCTTTTTTCTTAGCTCGAGCTCTTTACATATAGTTCAACACTCAAAGACTACTCTCCACTGACTGACTCTCTATGGTTTAAGCCATCGTTGGACATTTGGGTAGCAAAAGCACATATTATTAATCAGGTGTAAGAGAGTGTACCATTTCTGATTAATCCGATAACAAATTTTCGAAAGGCCACTTCTCAACGCCGGTTGGAACGCTTCAGTACCAGTTCCCAGTCAGGGTAATTATGCTTAAGCCCCCTTTCTCGCTAGTCTATATCAAAAAGGATTACTTTCTGTGGAGGCAAACTAACACTAAGGTAACTCTGACAGGGATAAGTAGTCTCGATTTTTCTCGCAAGTTCTTGATGTGCTCTAAATGCTTCTCGACTATAATGTTTATCACTCATGAAATAGAAGCACTTAAGGATATAAGCGATAAGCATCAGCTCGAATACATAAGTGAAAAGATATAATTATAAGAACTGGAGAGAACTTAACTCAACGTGAGAGAATAGGGTTTAAAACTTCTAGAGAAGTCGGCCATGGCAAAAAATCTTCACTTACCGGCACGCCTGAACAAGTGAAACCTAACAAGCAACACTCTAGTTCTGCAGTTGACGAAGCTGACTATATTGTTTTTGTAACTTTGATGTCTTCGATGTCAGTCAATTCCCCGTTTTATCTTTTTTAGTTGTCCTTTATCTTTTGATTCTACTTTTTGAACCTTTGAATGTGAATGTTGGTGGCAAGCACCCCCCTGTGGAGCTTTAGTGTTTATTGAGCTGTATCAAGATAAATCCCTATACTTTCAGATCTGTGTATGAGTTATACTCGCTGTCAGTAAAAAGACTGAGCATTAATTCATTGTTGAGCTAGTGTACAACGCAAAGGTGATTCTAACGTCAGTCTTACTAGCAAGCTTACGTTCGAAATCCTAACAATTTACTGGACTTCAAAATAAATAGTATCATTGTAAGTGTAATTACACAACTGGCTTTTGTTTTTTCATTTTTTGTTTTCCGGTGCGGAGAGGGTTTGTGAGCTTCAGTGAGTGTTTTTTCTTTCCATTGTTTTTTTATTATTCTCTGTTGTTATGCGAGTGTGCGTTTTTTTTTTTCTTTTTTGCAATCATTGTCTTTTCAGCACGACTTCTAGTTAGTTCAGCAACGCAACTAAATTGCTTATCCATTATCACATGGACTGTTCAAAGCCATCCATATCTTCGTGATATGATGAAAGTGCAAATAAAGACTCGTGCGCTCCACCCCTTGTGCTTCGTGCTCGCTAGATGTATTTGTCGCGTGCCTTATAATCTGCTTCGAGAGTTTGTATTATAAAGCAGTCTATTTTTATCTAGCGCTCAATATATTTATGCAACTGCTACTTATCATGGCGCAACGCGAGTCAATTGCGCGAGTATCATAAAGAAGATAATCTTGCATTCTCCGGTGCTTGAGTTCCACGAGGCTAATGTTTTTATGCTTTTTTTACTGTATTTTTTTTACTGTATTTTTTTTTTAAATTTTTTCAAAATCTTTTTTCAGTCGTTAACAAAAACGTTCTTAAAGTGGAAAACAAAGATTTGACTCCTACACAGGCCTTTGTTCCGTCTTTGTCTCGGACCAGATCAGATCTGAGCAAGTGAACGCGTTCCGCTTCACTTCCGTCTGTATCGGCGCCATTTGTTTCGCGCCTGACGCCAGTTAATTTATGATTTATAACTCAAAACAGTTATTGTATTTGATGCTGATCTCAAGGCCGTAAACAAACACTCACATTAACACCTCGTTCTTTGCAGTTTGCACCTTATCTTGCGCACAGACATGCATGTGTGGTAATACTTGCATCGCCGCTAGACTTATCCTACCGCAAGCATATCTCTCTGTTTTATTTATTTATTCTTCAACCGTTTGAAATGGTCTGGATTGTCTATTCTGTATCTCCGCGCAAGATGCTGGCTTCAGTAACAGGGCGCCAAATTACATATCGCTTGGCTGGTAAGAATTTTTTTCTTGTGTCGAACTTTTTTCATAAACCACTCTTTAATCGGTAAAGTATAAAATGCTTCGTGTAAACTCGTCAACAGTTTACCTTTGTTTTGCTGGGCGCAAAGTTGTTTTGAGAATGTGTATAAAATCTTAACTGTGGGATCAGTCCCCGAGTGATTATTCAATATTTGGTAACATGGGTAACAATCATTCTTCTATTTTAATCAGAATTTTACCTAAGTATCTTATGAGCTTCATTTGACAGCCATTTTAATGATGTTTTACCTAAGTTTTTTAATGAGCTTGTTAAAAGCAAGACATCCAATTTTTTGATGTATAGAATGTTTTGCTCTACTTCAGTAATAAACCACATAGTTTTTTTTTTGCAGAATACCAGTTGTATTAAAAAACCGCAGGTCATCTGGGGGGTTTGGATCCGCCCCTGAAAAGTTTTAGCTTGGTTTAGAACACAGCCGTCTTTGGTGGTTCGCCTTGGAACTGTTGCTTTCTCTCTGTTGATAAAGTTATATATCAGTCAATTTTTTACTAAAAAAATTATTTGCGTTATGAAATGCCTTATGTGTTTCGGACTGGGATCGAACTAAAGAAAACGGATAAAGTACCCGGATCGGGGAAACTCAACATATGCTGTGCCGTTGAAGTATGCTTATAGCTTCGTCGTTGCTTATTGGACGGACTAAAAACTGACTCAGGAAAATTTTCCCAAAGTAGTTGAAAGAGAAGATTTGCTTGTGTTTTAACTGCCAGAAATGTATGATTTCTCGGTAACTAAGTTCCTCCCTTGATACGCATAAGTTATCACCTCCAGTCGTCCGTACTCTTCTCCGCTTTCGTTCAGCCCCCTAGAACTCTTTCCCGCTCTAAATGAATTTCCCGCGCAAAGGTAATGTATTTGTTATCTTACTTCCGGTTTACTCTATATTTGTCGCGCAATGATTTCCATATATGTCAATTCGAGACAAGCGGAAGTAAACTTGTCCTAGCAAAGGCGCGAAATGAAGATTGTGAAATGGCGGCCTTCTTTTCTGTTTGCTGTTTTAACCTCGGATAAGTCACCTCCGACATTATAATGTTCAAGCTCTCTGAATATTGCTTTTTCCTATTTTATAAGGTGAGTGAGATGTGTATTCACATGCTGCGTCGGCCGTACAATTTACAAACAACCAGATCACCTGAGAGCTTGTTTGTGGAAGGGATGAAGACAAGTGAGCCCATATTGTTAAAGCGGCAGGCTTTCAGGAAATATTAAACAATTGCAAAATTTCACTTTCTTAACGGAGAAATTCATTATCCAGGTAGATTTCGTTTACAAAATTCTGGCGGCGAAACAATTTTCCAGCGGTTGTAAAATTCAATGCAAAACATTTACTGGTTCAGCTGTTTTCCTTTGTGAATCAACGAAGCTTGTAATACAAGCAAGTCTTTTGTTAATGTGGCGTGATGTTTTCGCTCGAAAGGTTTGCTTTCTGGTGGTGGTTAAAATTCCCTTGAAAATTTGGCTCGTAGATGTTCATCATGGAAGTTTATACGGGCTGAGTCTTACAGCTTGCAATCGTTCTCCGAAAGGATTTGCATTGTATAAAAAGTAACTCAAAAGGCTATATATTTTTTTTAACCTTAGGCTTTTCGGCCGTGCTTCAGTAGAGCTCAAAACAAAACGTCCTCAAATACAAAAGTTATCTCTTCTTACAGAAATTGTGGGGTATCAAGCTGATGTTTATGGAAGCTAAAACGAGCTAATTAACATGAGCTAATGCCTGGGTTTTTCGATACATGTTTTTTAAAAATAAAATCTCAAATTTGGCGCCTAAACTGTAAACACTTTAATTTGTAAATACTTTAAGCTATTTTAACACTCTACACTTAAATAGACAGCATATATTCACAAACAGCCTGAAATTAAAGCAAAATAATCCATACATTTTTCTATGCTTTGGAAAAATATACCTAACGATCAATTATTGTCAGCTTATGTTTATTCAGTAGTTCGTATAACATTCAAATTTTGGCTTAACTGCAGAATATCTGGCCACTTTGAAGCTATACCCCTATAACAGTGGCTACGCGGCTACATAGTCCCCTACGCAGTGATTCTTAATCTCGTCACGCAACACTCCCTCAGACAACCTATGGATGTGTGATTACCACACCTCTTGACTTGTATTTGATTGAATGTAAATTCTCTGTCAGTTTCGGTAAACTCAGCCATGCAGAACACAACAATGAATTCAAAACAAATTTATTCACAAGGTGTCACGCTACAAGTTCTTTAATCCCACTATGACACTTATGGAAAAAAGGAACAAAATTAATTCATTATAATTATCTCATTCTTTAAGCATTGAGCCAAACAAGCTTACTACACATGTAATATACCTTGTTCTTTAAACCGTGAGCGGAAACAACCACATGCGCATGTAGTATACCTCGTTCTTTAAGTCATGGATTCACCTAGGCACCCTGACCTGTAGCTACTGAACTAGTAGCCACGTAGCCCCATAGCTGCATAGCCATATAGCCACATAGTCACGTTGCCATGCAGCTGCGTAGCCACTGTTATAGGGGTATAGCTTCAAAGTGGCCAGGTATTCTGCAGCTACTCCCAAATTTTTAATCATCTAATATTAGATTCTATTTCATGAAATGCCATGATTGTTTGCACCATAACACATACTTAATTCACATACCAATGTACTTTACTGTTTACCATTCAATTTTTAATTTTTTTAAGACTTGTGCATGATGGTGCTTTAATGTATCAAAGCTGATTAATAATGACAAGTAAATGTCAATTCATCTGCATTGGTCCATGGTCCCCTCATGTGAGGAGCCTCAGGGGGTGTTTACATGACACTGGGTCGACTTTTGCACTGGAGCGACTAGAGTTCACTCCACAGCGTGCAAAGAAAGTTGTGTCCGATAGCCTGGGGCTAGTGGATTTTGCAATAAAAAAAATTGGGCTAACGTAAACCAGGGCAAGTGAAGTTTTTAGGGAAATTCAAATAACAGAAGAACTGTAATCAATGCTGCTGTCATCAAAAATTTTGGGGGGCTATACTTAAAAGACTCTTGGGCTAGTATATACTAGCAACAACTCGCCAGAATGGCAAGCCGTAAAACTGACTTTCTTTGCACCCTGCGCCGATTCCCTCTCATGGCTCTACATTTCTTTACATGATACCACCACAAAATGTCATGCCGACACGAGTCACCCAACCGTAAGTTCACCCTGTTTGATGTACCGAGGTGAGAAATTCACTCCGGTACGAAACATCACAACAGTATCATTTCAATGGGAAACAACCACACATTTAGTGTGAAATCGGTCTGCCGGTATACTGCAACGGGTAGCGCATGCGTAATGTTTGCGACTTTGAATAACACATGTATTTTCTCACCATGGAGTGTATACCTTCAAATAGCGAGATATGAAATGAGCTGGTCATTCAGTAAACGCGATACGAAATCAAAAAGTCATTGCAGTATGAAACTCGTGCCTGTGCGAGTTTTCTCATGTAAACACCCCCTCAGTCCCAAAACACCCACCATGCAAGCTTATATAATCATTCTGTACCTACAGAAGGCAAATTTCTGATTGTGGTTTGATAACATTGTCAATTACTTTGTTAAGATGACCAACTATTAAAGCAAAGATTTGAAACCTTCCAAATGGACATCAAACAGTCTTTCGATGCATTTATTCAACAAGTTGGCCTGGAGGAGGAAAGTGCAAAGAAGTCTTGGGAGCTGTGGGAATCTTTTTCTTCAAAAGCAGCAGAATTTCCAAAGGTGTAGTACGTGTAGAATAATAATTATTGTGGTTCTTATGACTTAAAGCAGCAGGCTTTATCACAGCCTGTACATATCTTGCTTGGAACTCGTGCTTTAATCGGGACACCTTTGGGAGTATCAAAATTTCACTTTTCCAACAATTTTGTGTCCCAGAATTCAATGCAGATATGCAACTTCACGAGCTGGCGCCGCAGAGGGGTAAACTTGGTAGACTGTAGTGTGTTATGTATTGAGTGGAATTCTAAAAGAGCACTTTTATAAAAAGATATAAGGTGTTAATTTCAGGGATGACAGATTTTGCTCATTTAAATTATTATATCTTGCTGACAATCTTTAAATTGCAAAATCTGCTCAATACATAACGCACTAGAGGTTTTGACCTATTATCACACAGAGTCCTGTCTCCTATTCTTTCCACAAACACTTGGACACAAAATCACAATTTCCCAATTTGGTGCAACTGTGGCTTAAAGCATTGCTGTATAGCACAGTATACCAAATCAAAAAACAACCCTCCCTCATTCCACAATGTCTCTGTAAAATTTTATCTAAATTGCTTCTAAAACAGCCAAGATATAAGCATTTTATAAGATGTACCACAAACAAATTTTCCTAATGAATATATTCTTAGATAGTTGTCCCCCACGGCTGTAGCTGACTTGTAGTGGCCCAAAAGTCTTTTCAACTAGCCCGAAAACATTTTGATTTGCAGGATTGATTACAGTTCTAATCTGAAATTGAATTCCCCATTACTTCACTTGCCTGTCGGCAAGTTAAGAATAGAATCCACTACCCCGATAGTAAAATCCACTAGTCCTGGGATATTGGACATTACTTTTTTTCCACACTGCTGCATCTCCTTCAACAGACACGATGGCCACCTTATTATACCGAACTTAATGGCTTATTAAATTCCAGTCAATCCAGGCAGGCTTTCTGTCAAGTAAGCATAATTCAATAGACCTATTCGGCTAACTCAATGTTGTACCCAATTCAAATCTCCCGGGGATAAGATTCTTTGTGTATTGTATTTGCATTATAATGTGGCATTCACATTTAAATGATATGGAAATTCCTGAAACAAAACGTTTTATTCCCAAAGGGTTTGAATTGGGTACAACATTGAGTTAGCCGAATAGGTCTATCGGTAGTAAGAATTAAAACAACGGTCACTACACATACACGTACATGTGCCATTTATGTGCTATGAAATTAGTATAAGAGGTTATAATATTATTATTTCTTTTGGGTTTATCGCTGTCCTTGGCCACAGTCTCACCAGGCGAGAGGTTAACGTGATTGCTTTAATCTCTTTTCCCTACAGGATGCCTTGATTCCTTGGTTTGTTTGTGCTACTTATGTAACAATTTGCAGGAGAAGGTAAGTGTCCATGTTTAATTGCGCACTTTATTAAATAATATTAGTGTTCAATACTTACAATGTAGGGCAGCATTTTTACGATGCTATCACAAAAGTCCTTGAGAAAAGGTCAAGCTGAATAATAATTGTTGTTGCATGGAGATGTTACAGGTCAAAATTAAATCCAGGTTAAAATTTTTGAACCTACATGTAGGTTGATTCTCAATTTCCTTTTTTCTTAGCCCTAATTATTCATAAATTAGGGCCAGGAGACAAATGACATTGAGAATCAACTCAGGTTCAAAAATTTTTAACCTGAATATAATTTTTGATCTGTAAAAGAGACACATCTTACATAATTATAATGAAAAAGATTAATCCAATTTGAACATTATCAATTACAGAAGCAGTGTGTTGACAGATCTTGTGCTGTTTGTTTACTATTATAGTTAATGGAAAAGTGTACTGACCAAAACATGTCACAATAATATTTTTGCATATACTATGTTTTTCCTGTAGGCATACTGCACCGCAGGCTAGAGAAAGCTTTACAATTTGCTCCTTGAGCAAGATTTTGAAAGCAGCCAAAATGAGGTACCAATAAATAAATATAGTAACTGATGCTTTATTTATTGGAAAGGTTGCAACACACTATTAGAAAAGTCTCTGCCACAAAACACTCAACTGTGTTTATGCATGTAGATTAGGTTACACGATGATTGTAAAGAAATTATTGTCATTGTAACCTGCAGCTGTGTCATGTCACTGTGACTTGTCACTGAGTGTGTCTCATCCTAAAGTTGTTTAATTTATACATTAATTTCAAATCAACTGAAGCAGTAAAAATTTTTTTTTTCTTTCATGCAAGAATGGTAGAGTTCTTTCAAAAGATGAAAGAGTTTGCAGAGATTTGCAATGTGGAAAATTCTGTGACAGAGAGCCTGAATGAACTGAAGAAAACATTTTGTATATCTTCTGCCATTTTTTTCAAATTTAAGAGGTAAGAAAAATAATGAAACTAAACAGAGTGTAAATGTTAATCTATATAATAGATGAAATTGCCTTGTAAAATTTTCTTTCTATGGGCCAGGGGCCGGAGATTTCCGCCAACTACTGTGACCATAACCCCTAGCTGTTTTAATCTAACCTACATGTCTATTCCAACCCGCAGAACACACTATGTATGTACTTTTTCTTGATAATTGAATTAAGTGATTTTGAAGAGTCAGTGTGTAACCTCATTCCCTCATTCCTCCTTAAATGGCTTCTTTTATCTCTGTTCAAAAGTAAAAATAGCTCTCCAAATAGTGACTTGTGTCAAAGGGAAAATGAAGCATGACTTCTTGGATCTTATTTTTCTGAGGCAACAGGTCACACATCATCTTCAGGTTATGTAGCACATCAATGACCATGATTACACCTTTTTCGCAAAATTTCTTTTAACTAGAAAAAAATGAACTGATAAAATGACAAGTGATGGCTAGAGCATAATAGAGTCTCTGAGTTTATGAACTGAATGATACATTATTTTGCATCCGACCTTCAGAATTATCACTTTTCTTACTTACAGACATTGCAGACATGACATTACTGCATAGTGTTACAGTTTCTACGGAAACTGTAAACACAATCTACAGACCATTTTTAGGTTCTGAAGAGGGATATAATTATTTTCTGTGCTTCCTTTTAAGAGTTGTACCAGTTGTACTGGAGGATGATCAGTCATTCAGCAAAAGGTATAAGAGCACTCAGGTTAATTTACAGTTTGTTATTTATGAACTCTGGTCAGTAAAGGCTATATGTTAGTTAATGCATGTTCATGCAGTGTTTTCATGACTTCTTCTGGCTCAGATTATAGTTGAACAAACCTTAAAGTTATACAGGAGTGCATAACTTCAAAGCACGTTATTTTTGTTACAGTGAGACTTCAAAGGATGCATTCTTCAAGACTTGCTGGCTCTTGTTTCTTGTCTGCAAAGGTAATATTTTATTCACTTTGCTGTAAAAAAAAATTAGGAAAAAATTTTATTTTGTGCATTGAATTAAACTTTCCTCAACTTACATTAGTCAGTAGAACTCTTGCTAACTGAAGCTCCTGAGGAAAGCAAGTAAAGGTTGAGATCAATGGGTTGGTGTTGAAGTTATAGATTATTAATAATTAATAAGGTAAAATTAATGATTATTATAAGGCTACATGTAATAGCAAGGAACAGAATATAGTATCGAGGTGGGGGAAGCCTCTTAGCAGGAAGCAGTTCAAGAATCCAAGTTGAAGTCTGTGAGGTACTGCTGTAAGGTTAAAGTGTTGATTATTATTATTTTCCTGAACAGGCTGGCAAATGCATCAGGTGGGAGATTTGATGACAGCTTTTTACCTATTGTTGTGCTGTGTGGATTATGTGCACAGACGACTTTTACCTTCCAGTCAGCACCCCACAGGTAAGAAGCAAAGATGTAACCATAGTAACCCAGGCCAGTGTGTTAATAAGTAACCCTATTTCTAGAGCGATGTTTGCAGTAGGTGTGCAAAATTTCTGTTCAAGATTTTTTTGTGTCTTTGTTTTTGTTTTGCACTTGTATGCAGATGATCAGCATACATACACTGTAGGAAACTAGCACTAAGCAGTAAGTGAAATAAGTGCTAAAACAGAAAAAAACTGGAACTCGGTCCTCATCCAAAAAATATTGAGTGCTACAATGTTAAGTTAAGTAGTTTTTAGAATTGAATTGCAGAAATACAAAGGCTATCCTAATAATGAACTGCTACCGGTATGTTCTCTTGCCACCAAGGGAGGGGGGACCCTTCACATTATTGTTGGCAGTGGATGTTAAATGTCTGTCTGACACAGTTATTTTAGTATGCTCGCACTTCTTTACAACTTCCTATTTCGCTCGACCCAATGTGTTGTGCCTCTCTTGTTTTATGAGTAGGTTACATTGTTAATTTTTTTGTTCATTGTTTTCCCAACTAATCCCATGAGTCAAGGTGCCTGACAGTATTACAGTTGTAACAGGTTGTCAGTTATTGTGAGACGACTAGTCACCTCCATAGCAAAGGTTGTTAAAGATTTCCTTAAGGCAAAATCAGGAACTTATGATGTTGCCTTTTTACTTACAGATCTTCAAGAGACAAATATTTCATTGGTAAGTTTTAAAGACTTTTGTCTTGATTCTCAAGTTACATAATGTTGGTGAGAAACAACACAGAGTACCCTTCAGTACTGTCATCATTAGTGAAAACTAATCCTGGTCCTGTTTATGTTATCTTGCATTTTTTTTTTACATTGTAGGAAGAAGGAATTCTTCCTTATCTCTGTCAAGAGTCTAGTGTGCCTTACACCTCGGTAAGTCATATAAAATTAAACTTTGGACTACAATTTGAATGAGTTTATTAGTTTCTGTTTGTTTTTGTGATCATTTTCTCATCCTTAGCATGCGAGTTTTCTCTATAAACATGTTTGTTATCTACAGTATAGTCTTTGTAAGCCAAAACATGAATTTATTCTTGCCATATATATATCGAAAGCCATCCTTAGGGCCTTGACCATATTGAGTATTTCTCTTTCTTTTACATTTTTAAATCTTCAAGACTCGCCACATTATTTTCTTTTTTTCCTTAAAATTTATAATTATGCTTATTGCTCTCTTGGTTGTTAGGTTAATTCAGTCCATGCACAATATTTTCAACCATTTCTGGACAGTGAGGTAAGAAAGGTGGATTATTTTTGAGCCTACCTCTTTCAAGTTTCAATGCAAAAAACAAAATTTTAATTTTTTAAACTTATCCTATGCATAAATTATGTCGATCTCAAAATTTGTTGTGCATAGCTGATCTTTCTATTAATGGCAATCACTTCATTATTTAACCCTTTAAGTCCCAATAGTGACCAACAGCAATTTTCTCCTAACAATATCTATAGATTGTCAAGAGCAAAGTCTATGAGAATTAATAAAATGATCACAAAGAAAAAATCTCTGATCTTTTATCAAATTCTCTCAACTAATTCTGTAAAGAAATGTATAGAGATCAGTCTGGAGAATTTGTTTGTGGATATTGGGGCTTAAAGGGTTAAGTACTGACTCATCTACCCTTTATTTGTTTGTTTTCCTTTACTGTAGGGTTGGAAAAGAGACCTGCTGAATGTAAGTGATTTACATTTTGAAGTTTAATGGTGGGGTTCGTGGCTAGATTGTTAATAAAAGGATAAAAACATTACAAAAAATGTAGTTTTTATAAGCATCATGGCCACCACCCCATCCCCTCTTGAAAAAAATGATTTAGTTTTTGCATGTCTCTTTCTGAAAGTGACTGAGAAAACGTAGCTGTCATGAGTCTGCAAATAATGAAATGACTTTTTCAAGCTATCAATGAAATTTGCGTTAACATAAGAGAGGTTCCAGAGTTCAGTTTTGGCCAAAGATTGTGAATTACAAACAAGCTTAGAAAGCTCAGTTTAGACTGACCCCTGGAATCATATGCCTCTCAAAGGCACACATGAGGGATTAGTTTGTTTATGTCATATCTCACTGGACTTTCTGTAACATTATTCTCTATAATATACTATACAAAGGACGTGTCTATGTGTCTAATGTACATATTACTGTCCAACCACATGGAAACATGTTTTGTTTATTGTCTGTAGGTGGATGATTTAAATACCATGTCCAATGAAATTTATGACAAATGTGGAGATATTGATGAGAGAGATTTCTTTGATGCAAGTGGCTACCTGTGGATTCCTTTCAGCAAAGAGGAAAGGTGATAATTATTGTTCTTACTGTACTTACTATTGCTATGACTGGTGTACAGTTATAATTAAATTTCAACCCTGCTCACCATAGAGCCTCCAGTAGCTTAAGTGGTTAGAGCATCCAGACTAGAACTTGGAGGGTCGTGAGTTCAGTTCTCACCTAGAGCTCGGAATTTTTTCCGAGCTTCCTGGTCGTAGAATTCTCCTTCTTCCAAATTAGAAAGTTTGTGTACTCTTTCAAATCTGTTTTTTTATGTACATGTAGTTATTTATTGAAACAATAATACCGCTCTGTTAAAACATATTTATTTGACTGCAGATGCAAACAAACGGCTTTTTAGTTAGCCACCACTTTATTTATTTATTTATTTATTTTTCAATATTTTAATTTTATTTGCTGAAGGTTTTACTGTTTTTTAATTTAGTTATTAATAATATTACTCCCTTTTGAGTGGTTTATATAAAAAAGCGCAATATAAGTTCGACTCAAAATTTCGGCAAAAGGTTATTATTATTATAATAATCATTGTCATTTCCTTCCTTCGTAACATTTAGCATTGCTACGTGCGACTTAAGTGGAGGTTTTTCCAGTGCTTTTGTACACGAGCCTCATGTTATGACAACAACAGAAGTCTTAGAAGCAAGGTACAGAAATGCTCATAACATAATAATGTTAATTTTATTCACCAGCACATCATTAATTTATGAAAGAAGTCCTCTCAGTTAAAAGGTTCTTTTTAAAAAGGTTGCTGGCTCAGGAAAGCTCGGGAAGATGGCTAAAGTTGGCACATATAAACTCCCATGACTTTTAATATTCTCAACTGTAGTATTTTACTATATTGAATAAATCCGAAGATGTTCTTGTCTACATTTGGTTATTGTCATGAAAAGAATGAAGATACACGTAGTTTGTACCCTTTTGATGTTTAACTTAATATTCTGTTAACATTGTGTTTAGAGTACAACTGTCAATGGACATTCATCTGCGAGATGTGCTTGAGGTGTCTAGGTACTGAAAAAGTCTTATAAGTTACATTATTTTTATGAAAATGTCACAGCAAATAGATACGTACCCCAAGTAAGCGAAATGTATCTTACTGTAATAATATAATTTTGGTAACCTTGTTCTCTTTCTATTCTGTAGTGATACACCAGGCCAAGAGCTGTTAAGATTTTGGAATGTAAGTATTCTTAACACTAGAAAACAGGGACTCTTGAGGGTCTGAGACCCTTAAAGATTCTTTTTAAAGCATGTCTTTAAGTTGGTTCTCAGCTTCAAAGGCCCAATCTTCTTGTTTTGGACTTGCTTGAGAAATTTGCAGCTTGTACTGTTTTGCTGACACATAAAAAATGTTACACTGTGAGAAAAGGCAAGATCAAATTTTGATAGCATAGTCTCAACCACTCAAAACAGCTGAACCCCAAAGGTTTGGTCCTTGTCCAATCAGTTAGCATTCCAAACCACCTGATGTGCATGCTAACAACAATGGTAACTTATTCGCTACCTTCCTTCTTCTCAATGAGATACAACTACTCATTTTCTTAGTTAGAGGTGACCCCAGTAAGATTAGTGATGTACAGGTTGTTTTGATTAGTTATAACTAGCTGCAAGGAGGCCCATCACATCAAAGACAGTTCTTTCTGTAGGGACCTATTTCAAGGCAATGACTGAAGATGTTGTCTTCATTTGCTAAACTTTTTTTGGTGTCTTCGTTGGTGGATGAAATAATCTACCTATCAACGTCCTATTTTGTACTTGTAGATCACCTAGAAAGGCAATATCAGGATATTTGAATATATTTCTTCAGTTCAAAGACCCTCATGTGTATGTGTCCATAGAACAACAGTCAATACCCACTTCACAGCCATCTAAAAGTTTCACAGTCCAAAAGGTGCCAGAGGGCATTTTGCTGTGTTGAATGCTGTCTTTGATTGACCTCCTACCTCTTTATTAATAAAGCTGATCTTGTCACCTAGGAAGGCAACATACACTGTACTTAAACAGTTAGCGTTTCTTTTCATGAAGCCTCAGTTCTGCTCGTAGTGTCTCATGGTGATTTACCATTTACAAGTGGATAATTTCTGCAAGGGAACACCTGCGCCATCAACTGCTTAAATGTTGCAGGAGTCATGCAACAAAAATGGAATGATGGCAACTGATCATACAAGCCATCTTTTGCAGTGAATGATATCTGTTGGTTGATATCCTTGTACTTTACAACTGACCATGTCACCAGAAAAGGCAACTGGCCAATTCAACAGGTGTTATATCTTCCTGCCTTTTTCTTAGTGCCTCCTCTTACAATCCTTACTATGCACTGCATGCCATTCCCCTGGTTCCAGTGACTTTGTTTGCGTGATAATATCAAGGCACAGGGTGGTTCTCCCAGGAAGAGCAGCCAATACACACTCGATGGTGCATGCTGAAATGTCTTGGGGAATTGCACCGCCCAAAAGAAATCAACTCACTGAAAGTGGTTACTTCTGAGACGGTGCTATTTCATGCCATGTGGTTGATCATTAGCCCCTCAAAATTTCAAACTCAGAAACGTCTCTTGTTTATCTTTGCCTTTAGGTTTTTTGAGTTCTCATTTCTAATTTTTAGCTCTTCAACTGTTTCTTAAAATTAAAATCTTCCTGACTTTTTCTTAGCCCTATTCTCAGAATCTTCATGAAGCACTTAATGATGCAGTCCCTGCAGTCATCTGTGTCTGGTAGACAAAAGAATTAATGCTGGCTTTTGACTGTGATGCGGCCTCTTGTTCATCTTTGACCTTAGATTTCAGGAGCTCACTTCTCATTTCTTGGTCTTCCATCATTTCTTAAAAATAATTATTTAGGTAGAGTTCGTTTACTTGGTCCTTTTTAATGGCTGACGTGTCAGTATATACTTATATTGTTTTTGTTTGTTTGTTTGTTTGTTTGTTTTTGCAGTGCTGTAAAAGAGATCCTAAAACTTTAATTCAGTCTTGTTTGACAGGTAAGGAGGACTTCTTCATTACTTTGTCAACTTAATGCCCCAGATATGATCTATTGCAGGCTGGTGGTAGGTAAAATCTGATACTTTACAGCACATGAGAGAGATATCCAGGCCTACTCTGGAAGCAGGCACCACTCAGTCATCAAATGATAGTATTACACTGAAGATAAACCAGTCAAGTCCTATTAAGTTCAAGAGCCTATACTTACCTTTCTCGCACAAAAATACCAGGTGGGATTGTGATAATCACAAATGTGATTTTGAAAGATCACTTGAATATAGCAAAAAAGGGTCAGAACTCCCCAACTAGCTGTTTATTCCTGCATACACATGCAGTCCCTTTGGTTGATCTTACAGTCTACTTAATAGATTGGAGCAAAACTGCAGATGGCATCACCCAAGTTTAAGTTTGCATGAATTGAATTAGCCTGAATGCACAGTGACATACAGTTTCAGATAAATGTTTTTTACCCTTTTTCAGATGTTCAAGAGAATTTTATGAAAGGCTTCACTGAAGCTGTCAATGAAGAAAATAATAATAATTCAAATCAGGTATGCATTTTCAATAAACTTTCTCTGAACTAGTTTTGCATAGTGTTAGATAATATGTTAGAATATAGCAGTCTTTATTGCTTAGAAGCCTTGGTACAAAAGCAAATAAATTCTTATTGTGGTTGGCGGGAAGATATGTCACAGTTTCTTGTTTCTTGTTTTTGTTTGTTTGTTTGTGTTCTGTAAATAAAACATTTACCACACTTGGACTGTTTCAAGTAAGATAATATAGATGACTCCTTGAAACTTGACTTGTTGCCTGTCTTCGTTCTTGTTCTCAAGGAATAGTAATTTATTAAGGTTCATTATTGTCATTACTGCAGATATTTATTCAAGCAAAGAAACTATATTATAGAGTTATGGAAGCCATGCTGCTGGCAGTAAGTTACCGCTATTCACTGTGCTCTTGCATTATGTTATTAATACTTACATTATGATTGGTCGTTTATTAGTTTATTTTGAAATTATCATTTTTTACCATATGGTAAATCCTCTATTTAGCGTCCCTATCTCTAATAAGCCCCCCACCCCCTTTTGAGGGGAAGAAAGTGAATAAGCCCCCCACCTATCTTTTAAGCCACCCCTCCCCACCCATTATTCTTCACTAATAAATGATAGACTCTATTAATCAATCACGACTGTAAAGCTTTGTGTGGACTTATCTGGGATGGTTTATTCACCAACTGGAAGTTCAGATTTGTTTTTGATCCTTGGCTGCATGACCTCCAACTTGTCATACTTGAGCTTTTCCACTTTGTATTCTAGTTCTTTATGAAGAAATGGTACTTTCGTCTTTTCTAAATTAAATAAGCCCCCTATCTCTATTAAGCTTCCCCTCAAATGGGCTTGAAATAAACAAACCCCCAGGGGGCTTAATAGAGGATGTACAGTAATATACAATAAAGTTGTTTACGAAGCCAAGTTTTCATGTCTGCCAACACACGTCTGTTTTGTTTATTCAACAGGAGGAAAAAAGGTTGTCCTGCAGTGATTTCAGGTAATTTCGTTTTAAACATCACATGCAATACTAGTAGGTGTTAAGTGTCGTTTTCTGTCCCTTGTTCTAATTTCTTTTGTGTAATGTCATTTCAGTGCCTTGCTGAATAGTGCATCATTTCACATTTCACTTATGGCTTGCTCACTGGAGGTGCTTATGGCTGACAAAGGACTTCCATGTATGTGAATCAGGTCTAATATTTTGTAAATCTGGGCCCAGTTGCTCGAAGCATGGTTAGCGTTAACCAGCGTATAATACCTTGACAACGTATTGGTTTTGATAACCAATGGTTAACAAGGCTGTGCTCCAAGGAAAATTGAAGGGTGCCCAGTGCTCTGAACCTGTAAAATCTAGGGTGCCCAGCATATGATTTGCATGAAAAATTTGAGATTTTCTAGTCGCCCAAGAGCAAAAGTTGTGTGCCAGGGGCCACCAGGCTCTGCTAGAGCACAGCCCTGGTTAAAGCTAACCATGCTTTGAGCAACTCAGCCCTGGCTGTTATGAACCTTGATTTTGTTATGTTAATGTTTTTGTTAGTTTCTGATGATCATTTGGCAGTCACTGTCTGTTAAACACTAAAAAAATAAGGGTTAGGGTTAGGGTTAGGATTAGGAAATTTCACAGTGAGGTCGGAGCCATGGCCCTCACTCCACTAACCCCCTCCCCTCAGGAAATTGCGCCTCTGGCACATATTTATTGCCTTACCGGCCATGAATGGTCCCTTACCTGCTGAGCTGAAATTTAGGGAGAACACTGTTCTTTCGCTTGCTCGGTTTTAGCATACTCTGTAAAGAAAAAGGCAAAAGCAGGCTCTGTTTGAGTTGTTCGCAAGGTATTGATCACATATTAGGTAACCCTTGAGTCTGGATAAATAGATTATTATTTTGGAAAAAAGTGTGGAAAACGTCTTGAATTTTGGATCCAAAAATCTGTATGACCCCTGGAGAGGGAAAAACTGGAGTGCCAAGAGAAAAATCTCTCAGAGCAAGAGAGAGAACCAGCAACCAACTCAACCCACATTATGTCATCGACACCGGGAGTTAAACCCAGGGCCTAATTGGTGGGAGGTGAGTACTCTCACCACCGCGCCAACCTTGCGCCCATATCAAATAAGAGTTGGCAATGACTAAAATGCCGTAGTGGCTTTCTTTCTTTCTCTTCACAAGTTATTGTAAAGTCTGATAACCGTATTTTTTGTTCATTTTCAGCTGCAGCCATTAAATTTCCTTGGATCCTCAATGTCTTGGAGCTTAAGGTACAAACTGTGGTTTGAAAGGGGTACACTTGTACATTTTTATCCCCATAATGACCTTTTGGCAAGCTAATATTAAAGGCTTTTTTGACCCTTGCACAACATAATGCATCCCTGTTCAATTTAGCAATGATACCGTAAAATTCTGAAAACAAGCTTCCATGTACAAATTTTTTGATCCCCAAATAATGAAAACAAAGCAAAAAACGAATAAAAGCCAATTTCCCTCCAACAATAAGTCCCTCAAAAAGGGCCTTTGAAAAATATAAGTCCCGGGGCTTGTTTTCGGAATTTTACGGTATTTTTATTTCCTAAGTTCCTTTTTTAATTCCATGGCAAGCAGATTCTTCAGCCTTTTTCGTTGACTCTCTTTATAACGCAGATTCCACATTAAGACAAACATTTAACCAAAAGTGTCTTTTCTAGTGTTATCCTATTAAAGAGTGTTAACAGTACAAAGAAACAAATTTTATTATTTTGTTTTCAGGCCTTTGATTTTTTCAAAGTCACCGAAAGTTTTATTCTTCACGAGCCACATCTTGGCAGTAAATTAATTAAGGTAGGAAGAGAAAGTGTGATGTATGCTTTGACAGAAGTAAGCGGCGTTACTAATCTTGATGTCATGGTACTGTGATGTCTGCGATACTTACAGTTACACCCGAGAAGTCCTTAAGAACAAGACACCAGGCATATATCTTTTGAATTCCAGACCTTTTACACAGGACAAAAGATTTTATGTGTCATTGTAGACTAGATGTGAGTTTTCTCAATTTCTTATCAGGCACTTGTTAAACCTTATAAGATATGTAACAGCAAAAATGGATATTTTTTTCAACAACACCCTCTTTTGCTTACCGTTAAAATACCACTTGAAGACAAGCCTTGAGCTAAGTGGAAACACTAAGCGTCTGTTGGAGATCAATAAAAAGTCAATCACACAGCATTTATCAATGTTTTTAACCGCAGCATTGTAATCTGTCACCTTTCAGCATTTGAATAGCATTGAGGAGCAAGTGTTAGAGTCTTTGGCGTGGAAAGTGGTAGGTATCGTGCATCTGATATTGTCACGAAACTATTATAGTGCAATTGGGCGTGGTTTCAGTAATGAAGAGTTTTGGCGTCTTTCTCCAGATGAACTGTCTGGTTACATAAAGGCCTAAGCATTTTCAGTTTAGGACTCCTTGGTTTTTTGAACTGGGACTCACTGAATTTGGACAGGGACTCGTAATTTTTCACAAGATAAGTCCCAGGACTCACCATAACTATTTGTAACTAAATCACTACACGTTCAAAATTTTTTTTTACCGCACATTACTTCCTTCATTGATTTTACATATTTGTTATTTATCCTCATTTCAGAATTCACCACTTTTGATAACGATGATGGCTGTTGCCCCCCATGTTGACCCTGCATCAGTGTAAGTATCAGGGAGGGGAGTGGAAGCTACTCGTACTGTTCAGTATGGATGGCAAGTTAACAATCTCTGTCTTATTACATATGTGAGAATGCCAGACCATTCATTTTAGTTCCACCCTGAAAATACAGAGAATACAAACGTTTGTGTGGCTATTATGCCATTACAAGTCCATTCTACAGTCGTACACTGCGCGCCTTTTGATGGCAAGTATAGATTACGACTGCGTACAATACAGTACAGTACAATACGATACAATACAATATAACTTTATTACCTTTCCCTAAGGGCCCATTCTGAGATAATTACAAAGGAATAGTAATTACCTTGAGTTACAAGCATCATTAAAAGCTAAGCTAAAATCATTCGTTACAATTTATACGCTAAATGTGCGTAGACTGCATTGTAGTAAAGTTTTTTTCTTTTTTAATTGAATCTGAAACCACTCAAGAAAAGAAAAAAATGGTTTCTAAACATTCTGTTACATTTAATTTTATTAAAACTAGTTAAGTTAGCACATGTTGAGCTTTTTATAAAACATCACGATTAACCTGGGGAAAGTAGGAAAGTTTGCTTAGTCAACTTCAGCCGAACATTCACTCACAGGTCACAGATGTAAAGGTAAATATTTTCTTCTGCAGTTACATTGTGTGTTTTGTTTGCAGACGTTCTGGTCAGCAGCAGAAAAAATCTCAGCCATTAAATCTCTTTTCAAGAAAAGGTAGGAAAGTTGTATTCCATCAATGAAAAGCAAAGAGAGTGGATATATTACAGTTCAAATTTGATTTCAGGTTTAATTTTTTAACCTTGGTCGATTTTAAATTTTCTTTGTCTTCTGGGGCAAGTAGGGACTCAAGAATCGACCTAGGTTAAAACAAAATTAACCTGATCTGTAACAGATACTGACTTGTTTGACTTAGTTGTTTTCTTCAGTGTGTCTATCAATCTGTTGTTTATTTTCTATAATTTTGCAGTAAACCAGTTGGCTTACAAACGTTTACAGTCACTTTGCAATGAACTTGATATAGATGACACATTGGTAAGTACAGTAGAGCAATCCTTAATAGAAGATCTTATTCTCTGTGGTTTTTGTATGGCACGTATCACTTTAAGTATTTAGTGATCGCAAGTCTTTCCTGTTAAACTGAATGATACGGTACCAAAACCAATGAAGTTCTTTGAAATATTATGCCGTACTGCAGAAGTGTTTCTGGATTATCAAAATATGTAAGCGTAATTTCGTATGACAACGTTAGTAGGTGTATTTAAAAAATCCTCCCGTTTTTCAGCGAAATCACATGTGGACGTGCTTGGAACAGTCATTAAGATTACACTGGCAGTTGATGAAAGATCGGCATTTGGACCAGGTACGTTTGGTACACTTAAGGTATGTTCACACTTAAACGCACGAAAAGCTATCCAGTATGATACGAACACCTACCGATATGTGATCGGCGCGGAGCAGCTTCACTCCGTTACAGAAATCGCGCCGAAATCACGGTTCTTATGTATAAGTAGAAGTCCCATCCGGTATGGCTTTTGTGCCGTCAAAAAAGCTATCCGGTCTGATAGCGTGAACATAGCCTTTAAAACCTTTTTTTTTCTTCTGAGATACGCTTCGGGCCATACTCCTGACATGTACGCGTGATGTGTAAACTCCAAGTAGAAAAAATTCAACTTGGTGTCTATCCGTTACAGATGATACTGTGTGCAATCTATGCCATCTCAAAGGTAACCGGTAAAGAAATCCAGTTTAAACAGATTGTCACCTCGTACAGAAGACTTCCTTTTGCATCTCCACAAGTAAGTTGATTATCTAATATTTATTCATTTAGGGATTCCTAAAGGTAGTATGCTTATTCATCGAAAAAAGCGTTATATTTGTCAATTGCACATGAGCAGACCATTATTTGTGGGCAGTTACTTGCAGGTCACGTGGTGGGCTCTCGCCAATGAAAAGAAAGAAAAATTTGCTTCGAATGATAATTGTTAATTGTTTTCCTGGAAAGAGACATTGCATTCTGGTGAGATCAACCTTTGCTCTGTATAGGGTCTGGAAAGTTGGGTCCTGGTCTCACGTGCATTCCCGCTCCTTTTTCACGAGAATTGTGCAACCGAACTTCCTTCATCCTGCTATTCCGAATATCATATTCTTTCCCAATCTTAGATCCATTCCCAAATTTAGGCGAATCAGTCCAATCCCCTATCCCGTCAACGTTTTCCCGAATCCCGCACTGTAATTTGGTCAAATCGTGGATTCTTGGAATGCCCCCCTCTAGTTCCTGTGTGTAATCTTTGGTTTGTGTGAAACGCTTGAAAAGTAACGTTATGCTCTGCTGTTTATCTACTCACCAAGGTATACATAAGTGCGCCTGGGAAGGAGCACGAATCCATCATAGGATTCTACAACAGCGTCTACATGGTGGCCATGAAGTCGACTATCCTTCAATTTGCGCCAAATAAGGTCAGCAGCTGGCATACTGTAAACTGCGGCTTATAAGCCCCCCACCCCCTTCCCTTCTAGTTATAGGTCCATCTACTTCAAAACTCCTCCTTTAGTATGTATTGGAATGAATTTGATTCATTATGAATTTTTGAAGCTTAAAAACCAGTAGATGCAAAACATATTTTGATCACCACTGCTATAGCTTGTTTCGAAGGGCCTTTTCTATTCTGGTCATAAGCCCCTTCGTTTATAATCCCCCTCAGATATAAGCCCCTCCGTTTTTAAGCCCCCTCGGATATAAGTCCCTCCGTTTATAATCCCCCTCGGATATAATCCCCTCCGTTTATAAGGCCTCCTAAACCCCGTACGAAGATATTTATGTCCAAGACTTATAAGCGGCAGATTATGGCATTTTTCTTTCTTGCGACTGGTTACCATGGAACTTCTTTAATGTAACTAAGTTATTACTGAATTGACAGTATGGTTCATTTGAGGGCTGGGAATTGTTGACTGCCACCAAGCAATCGAGATCACAAATTTACAAATGGATGATTGAATGCATTTATTAAAGGTAGCGCTTTCTTTCTAGGTTCCACCAGTTTCTCCTGCTCCCAAGAGCTCCTTGAGGTTAGTTTTTTTGAAAACAATTGTAATGGTAAACCACTCCACTTTACGCCAGAGTCATTGTCTTTCTTTCTAGTACATTGTACAGTGACCTTTTTGTAACTTAATAGTAAGAATCCTCGTCCTTCCTTTTTCTTGTCCGTCACTTCCTTGTTCTTGGTTCTTTTCGCATGAGTTGTGTGCATTTTTTTGGTACAGTTTCTTAGCTGCATTACTTCGAACATTTCTCTTCTAAAAGTTGCCCTTTTAATTGTTGTTGTTTTTTGCTATTTAAGGATTCCTGGAAAGAAAAATTTTTACTTGTCTCCTTTGAGAAACTCACCAAGCAATACTTTGACACCCAAATCAAGGTGAGAGACTGGTGGCTTTGACGATGTTGAGTTAATTGTTTTACAGACTTCAATGTCAGAGTATCTTTTTCTTCCCTTATTGTGATAAAAGGTTGCTTCAGTCAGGAGGTTTTAGAGTCCTCTCACCGGTTTTTAATAATCTAAACGTACCCCACCCTACTCTTTCTGAGCCAGTGAGAGTATTTAGAACGCTACCTTTTGATGCCTGAGTGCGATGGGCTGTGCCAGGTGTTCTTAACACTTCAAAGGTCCGCTTGTAATATACTTCACCTCACAATAATTGAATACAAAGCTAGTAAATGAGTACCTTGACTAGCTTAGCTAATTGCGAACAAAGGATATTTTAAAAACTTTGTAAATATGGTGGACTGGTAACACTTTCAACAGTATTATAAAACACCCACCAGCTCTCCGGGAAAGAGAGTCACCCTACCAGCCTGTTCAACCTTAACGAGCATTCATATTTGAGAAAAGTTGACCCTTCTGATAACAGCACTCATGCATGCTCTGATTGTCTTGCGTTGACAGAGTTGGTGCGACTGGGCGAGCCAGTGTTAACAGCTATTTCGAGAAAAGTTGTCGGAAAAAATGTGCTTTCGACAATCCTGAAAGGCGATATGGCATATGATCAATACACTTTTCCTGACACTGTAGCTGTCAAACCTACTTTTGTTGCTTTCCTTTAGCACTCGTAAACATACGTCCATGGCCTCTCGTATGGCCTGCGAAAAACGTATTTCCGGTCGTCGCTTCTCTCCCTCCTCTCCCTCGGAGGGAGAGAAGCGACGACCGAAAATACGTCTGCTGTTCGCAGGATACCTCTAGTACCACTGTTTCAAATTTCTTTGAAGAAGAGTGGACTCAAAACTACCCTAATACCTTTCGGGATTGTCGCGTGTACTTTTTCCGACAACCTTTCTCGAAATATAGTTGGCCCGGCTAGGAGGGCGAACCCTACCATCGAAAAAGGGTGACGCGGCTAGGCGTTCTAGCCGAGCCAACGTTTTGTCGTTTTGTTCGTAAGGAAATGTAGGAAACGTTGGCTTACTTGGGGTACCTCAAGTAGGGGAGTGACCCTTTTCCGCTGAACAAGTTTTCCCCATAAACGGGGCCTCTGATGTATATGTTGCAGTTAATTTTTCTTTTATTTCAGTTAATTTTTGAAATTATGAGTATATGAAAATCATATATGTGAACTGCGGAGTGAAGAATTATTTGAAGGAAGATCATCCTAGTTATATACGCAACTTATGCAGTTGCGAAAAGAAAGCCTGAAAAAACATTTTTTCAGGCTTTTTTTTTTTGCAGCTGCATAAGTAGCGTATATAACTGCGATGATCTTCCTTCAAATAATTCAGTTAATTTTTGTTTTCCCTTTGTTTCAAATTTGTTAGCATACATTATCATACCCAAAAACTATTCCTTTTTTGTGTGTTTCTCTATTAGATCATTATACAGCTTTGGGGATTCACCTGGGGTAAGTTAAGCTTGAAATATCAACAGTGTGTAATGCAAGGCTCTTGTAGTAAACTGTTAGTTGAGTTAATTGATGTCAGACCTGCCTAGCATACAAGGGAACGGGATCGCAACCATTACTGGCAAACTGTGTTGGCTCATGTAGCATGTTGTATCCTGCTGTAGTTCGTTTTACTGTCAAAAAAGTACTGGTGACAAAGCTCTCACGTTACCCTTTCCGACAGGATTGGTGTTGCGTCAAGAAAAAGCACCGATATTCCTGCAGTTCTGTAATACTTGTGGCTAAGTAAACTAACTGATGTTTTTGTATTTTCTAGTCTGGAGACCGAGGAAGCCTGTCGAGAATCAATGCGTCCCTTCGAGCAGCGGTGCACAGTCAGACCAAGGTGCCACAGAAGAGACTACGCTTTGACGACTATGACATTAAAGAACCCGGTTCAGGCCTCTATAACGGTCACTCTACAGAAAAGGAACTCGCGGCAAGTGTCAATGGAACAAACGGAGAGGCAAGAGAACATGAAACTGAAGAGGACAATAACAGTTGAAGACTGGACAAGACGTTAAACCCTTCCTGCTCTAATAAGCGCCCAGATCATAAAAACTGCAAAATAAGCGCTCCTCCTCTAATAAATGCCTTCGACCCCAAGAATGAACAAACTTTGTTACTGAATGCACGTTATACCGCGTTACTAAGCTAAGTGAATTACCACGCACTCAAATTTGTGCTAATGTATGCCCCATTTTGATGTAACAGTTATTGTAGGGCCACCCTTAAAACAATTTAATGTGATATCACATGACTGAAGTTTACATAACCCAATGAGCGCCCCTCTTCTTGCTTCAGTAATTTAACCAAACACTAGTTCGCGCATTTACGGTAGATTTTAACGGATTAGCGCGTCTCGACACTTTTAAGATTTTTATCTTAGTCGTAGTGGCGAACGCCTAAGTATGTATTTGTAAAAACTTACCTTAATAACTCTGTCGCAAAAGTAGCTACCTAGTAGCTCTGATTTTTTTTCCCCAAAACGTCATTTTGACTGGTGGCAATTCGGAGCGAGCGACTTTTTCTTTGGGACAAGCCTTATATTCTCTGACTGAAGTCATAACAGTGTATGCTGCTATACTTTTTTACGTGCAACAAGATGAACTTACTCCTTTTGTTTCATTTTGGAAACCTAGTTTTGAATGAGCTAACTAGTAAGGAGATCCTCTACTAAGCGGAACGTATTTTTTTCTCTCCCGGGATGGCCACTGAATACAAGAATTAAAACTGTGTTCAGCGGCCGCACGCTTGTGCTTCCGAAAAAAATGCGGGCGTTTGGGAGAACCGTGATTTGATTCCTTCTTCGGTAAGAAGAAATAATTTTACTTCAATTTGAAGATGCGTTAAGCTCATGTGAAACTACTGTACATGTATTTATGTCTTCTTTTATCCTTACTTATATTAATTGCCTGTGATTTCATCAAACTCTCAAATTAAACGGCATTTTGTCTACAGGATGATAGGTGTTTGGCATTCCTTGAAAGTGACCTTTGGTTTCTACCCTGGGTGCCAGAGGCCTTTCATGCGCGGCTTCCGCTTTCGGTTGAGTCTTAAAAAGTGACCTGCTTCGCCGCTCGTCTCTCGGCCGAGGACGTGTCGGCATGCAGCCAACGGTCACGAAGCTCCTCGTCGCACGCGAGCAAAAACCCGGTGGTACCCAGGGTATTTGGTTTCTGAAATGTTTCTTGAACATGCAGGAGTAATTTCTCAGAGCTTTTCCCCAAAAACGCACGCGGTCATTCCATTCTGACAAAGACAATTACTCTCCTCCGTAAACTGCCGTGCTGGATAATGCGTGACGTCATTTCCACCAACATGTCGCGTCTTTTATGGACTCCAAGACAGTCGGTTTATTTCTCAAAATCGGTTTAGTGTAAGAGTCTCACAGGACGTGTGAGGCGAGAGAAAAAAAGTTTTAACGTCTCTCCCCAGTCCCTCATTCCCAGCCTCGTACCCAAGCCTGTTCGCGCTATACGAGTGACCAGAGGAAGCTTTCCCGACAAGCTTAACAGGTGACGTCACATCCGGAATCGCCGAGGACGACTGGGAACGAGGCTACCTCATTCCGTTTTCAGTCTCGATTCAGAACTTTGTTTGACTGCTCGCGCGTACTTGAAAGCGCAAAAACACGGACTGTTTCACAGTCCACCTTCTTTATTACTAAATAATGAAATTTTTGAATACAGGAGGTCGAAAAAGGGAAAATGCGACTCGTTTGTTATGGCATCCGTCCTTTAAACCGAACCAAAAATTCACACGTTCACAATCTTTCAAAAGAACGTTAAATCGGGTTGGCAAAGAAGTACCAAAGTGTGGAAATTTAAACAGAAATTAATAAGCTTTGAAAGGCACCTCGTCGATTTGTGTGAAGTGTAAAACAGGCGTAGTTTTTCTTAAATGTTCAAAGGCAACTCTTTAAAAGCCCTGATCTTGGAACTAGTGTTGTATCGAAATGCACTATGGGAATGTTCGGGGGCAAATTTAGGGCCCCTTTCCCCCGCAACTCTGCAACAGTCCTGCCTCGTACCAAGACGTCTCTCTCTCTCTCTCTCTCTCTCTGGATAAACATTTGCACGCAAAGGAAGATGGGAAGGAGAAAAAGGGCGAAATGGCGCTTCGCGTGTCTTCTTCGTCCTTCCCATGGTCTACTGCGCTTCGTTACCAGTCACTCGCGTTTCGCGCTCGCCTCTATGCGAAATACGAAGCGCCTGAGGAGAAGGCAGGTAACAGACCATAAAAAAGGTGATAGGCCTCCCCAAAACAGTCCCATAATGCAGTGCAACATCCACCTAATCTTACGCGAAAAATGGAGATTTTTTTCCCATTCTTTTAGTCAGCTCAGAGATAATGTCCTTGAAATTTTTGTAATAAAGAGCAACACAAAAACCTGGGGGGTAAGTTTAGTGATCGCTGGGGAAGACACAAAAAAATAGCACCGAGACCGTTTCAGTGTAAAATTCTACTTGTATTTGAAGATTTCACTTCCCTGTCATTAAATGAACAGCACAAAATTACATCATGCAATTAAATAGAATAACCTCTGCATCTGGTCTGACCAGCTGACCACAATAAATACAAGTAAATCTACAACATAACCATAACGCAGTTTTCACTTGAGCGTATTAGTAACCACTTCGACCAATCACAAAGGACTGACACTACCCAAACGAAATAAGTAACAGGCGAAAAGCGCGGTAAAAGTCCCTGCAAGAGACTTGGTCTAACTCTTCATTGGTTGAGAAAGGCACGTGATATTTTTTAACCAATCACGCATCGCCTAAATTTAAAAACAAAGCGCGGAAAAAAGGCATGCAACAAACTTGATCCAACTCCTGATTGGTTGAGAAAGGCACGTGAGATTTTTTGACCAATTATGCATCGCCTAAATTAAAACGCGACTGTGTTACTGTCTACACTCAACTAAAAATTGCTTGAAGTGCTCTTAAAATCGATATGGCTCGGCGTAAACTAGTGGACAAAATAAATGGTACACTATCATGAAAAGTGGTTATTTACTCCCACGTAAGACCCCTTCCACAAGTAGCAGTTTTTATTCGGAAACGAATATTTTCTTTTCTGTCTGGGAACGTTTCCCGCACAGAAGGTCGAGGTCTCTGCTCAATCGTTAAGCGCTTGGATTCTTTTTAGTCGCTTTCTGACATAATAACTTGTACGTTTAACCTGAAAGAAAAATTTGACTCAACCGTTAGCCCGACAAAAAGGCCAAGGCATGCGTAGTGAAACAATTTTGTCTGCGTGACATCAGATACCGTTAAGTCATCGTTTTTCTAGAATCTCCGTTTTCATCAAACCACACCAGGACAGGAAAACGACGACTTCAAAAATTTTGACTCTGAAGAGGGTATTTAAAAGTTGCGTTTTCAGTTATCGTTCTCACCGGATATGTGTGGACGAAAGAACACTCGTGAGGAAAAAAATTCCGCTTTCGAATAAAATCGGACACCTGCGGTCGGGGCATAAAACAAACAGTTACTTAATCAGAATTGGATCTTACTTAACGGACCAGCCATTTATGAAAGACAATATCTATATTTTAAAAACTGTATGCAATACGCGTGCTTTATCAAGAGGACATAATCTACTAAAAAAGCAAAATAGACACCTCAAAAATATGCTGCAATATTTTAGCCTATAATGAACAACTTCAACGTAGAACTCTGAAAATAATAGCAAGTAGTCAATATCATAAAATATTATTATATTTAAATGTGTATATTTCCCTTAATTTAAAATAATACCCACTTTGAACCGAAATACAAACAAGTTAACTACAGTATGCTATCTACAATTGCATCGTTCTCGAATTAAAAGCTTACTTGTGTCTATCCGACAGCAATATGACGCTTATTGACGTTTTATCGTTTTGTTTAACATTTATGAAAAAAACTAAGCCCACCCGCTGAAAAGCAAAAACACGCGAATTAAAAGAACGATCAGTCACCATAAAAAAGTAATAAATACTTTAAAACTAAAAATTAGCGCAGTAAAAGCCAAAATTAAATATCAAACAGCCCTATAGACAGCCTTGAAATAAATAACAAACAGCATTATAAACAGCCTTGAAATGGAAGCGGCACACTCTGAAGGCGGAAGTATCTTGGGCCATCCTGGGTCGGTCAAGTCGCCCGAAGAAGTGGAGAAGCAATGGCTGCAAAGCCACGTAGGACAACAGCGTCTTATGGACATCGGGCAAGAGATGAATTTGAGTTTGGACGACTTGGCCTTAAAGCTTTGGCTGATGTTGCAAACGAGACTGGATTCGTGATGTGCTGTCCGTTTTAGAGGGAAAATTTCGACCCAGTTTCCCACAACACCTTTAAAATGGCAGACACAACACTGAACCAGAGTCGCACGCAACCTGAATAGAGGATCTGCTATGAAGGGAGGATTAATGCCCCAATTAGTTTTACGATTAAATACCTCATAATTATGCAAATAAATTAGATTATTACAGTTCCTTTGAAGAACAATTAGGAGAATTTGAAAATGCCTGTAGTTTTGACTTTAAACCATAGTTAATAGAGTGGAATGGTTATGAAACCCGTCAGACTCCTTTGTTATATGTTTTTGTGGACCTGAAAGTGCACAACGTTCAAAAGAATTCCTATCATTTTGATTGTATTGACCAATAAAAACGTTGCATTAATTTATTCCCTTTAATTTGCCAACAGAAAACAAAGGATTGTGCACCACGGTGCTTTGAACATAAACTGCAGCACTGTTGTTTTTATCATTGATGTTTGCATCAAATTTCTCCTTCCTACACTAATTAACCCTTTAAGCAATGATCAGCATTTTGTAATATCTGTGTAAAAAAAGAGTGGTCATGAGAATTACAGACATGATCACACAAGATGAATTTGCTTGATATTTTATCAACTTCTCCCCACTACTTCTGTAGGAAATGAATAGAGGCAACAAATGAGAATTCCAATTTTGATCTTAGGGTTTAAAGGGTTAAAATAAACTTTTATCCATCTGTTTCGTTTAAAACAAGTTAAAGTTTGCCTGCGTCGCAGACGTTCTAAACCTTCTGTATAGACTATACAAATGGTTTAGACGAGTGCGTGGGCCGGCTGCAACGCAGGCTAGTTAAAGTGGCATCTCGTACTGTTTTCAGAAAAGGCCCTAAGCTGAATTAATAAGTGTCCAAAAACCTATAACTTACACTACTTTGAAAAAATAACATTACTCTGTATTATAAACAAATCTTACACCTACAGAATACCACCTTTTATATACACGATAGAGAGAGAGAGCGGGTTACGACAGAATAAAACGTCTAAACGGATCTGGAGATTCTTGCGTGGGGCCCCATGGACATTTTCTGCAAAACAAATAAGTAAACGTTATGCTACAGTGGAACCTCATCGATTTCTCGATATTACTACAATACCTTTTGTACTCCCGACTCGTTATCCTCTTTTAAATGGGTTATCTCCAGTCAAAGACACCTTCCAAAGGCATACATGGTCGCCGATAGCCCACGTTCGATATGTGAAAATTCTAACATGACTCCGAGGCTTTCTGTTCATTTTTCTATATTTGCTTTGGTTTTCTCTGTTTGAAGTCTCTAATGGGAATTGCGAGAAAATGGAGTCTTGAAAAGTTGCGATTTTGACCATACAGCCTCAGAGTCATGTTAGAATATTAATATATCGAACGTGGGCTATTTGCAATTTTTGAAACGAGACGGGAACTGGAAACGAAGTACGTCCCGCAGTTGTTTCTGGGATTGTTACTGGAGACGTGCCGGTCAGCTATTGGGCCTAATAAAATTCCCAGAAGTCTTTGCGAAAGTCAACTGGACCCAGTCTCCTTCTCGTCAATCACTAAAATAAATGAATTCCAACTATCGTTATGGAACATAGGCACTCACTTGCTACCATGTCTTGTAAGTCGATGAGTAATTTTACGGTGTTGTTTATGTTCTTGTTCTAAACTGATCACATGTGATTGGATATTGTTGATGGTCGTCAATCTCTGCTGCCACATTTCCTGGAGAGTTCCTTGTACAGTGCACTTCTCACACTGACTTTCACAATCCGCTGAGAAGAAAAAGAATAGATAAATGTAAAGATTATTTCCAAACAGTTAAGGTCACCTAGTTGTGTTTCCATTAATTTGAAAATGTTGGTTTTTGAGGAGTGGAGAAAACCGGAGTACATTGTACCTGAAGAGAAACCTCGCAGAGCAAGGAGAGAGAGAACCCACAACAAACTCAACCTACATTTGGCGTCACCGCCAGGATTTGTGCCCGGGCCACACTGGTTAGAGCACTGCGCCACCCTTGCTACCGATTATTGAAAACAAGTGATTATCGCTGCTTAATCACCGAAGTCATAGTACCCCACAGAGACGGCTTAGGCGTCCTGCTACTGTACCATAGCCAATCACATTTTGCAAAGTGAAAAATAAACATCAAAGTTTTTTTTTTCAGTAAAAACGATTGCAAGAAATCTTGGCAAAATGTATCATTCTCTAACTGCTGGGCATTTGCAACTGGATGAATCAGTTCGGCTCAACACTTTGGTAATACGATGTTTCTTTACGTCACCAACCACAGTCTCCAAGTTACTTTCTCCTTTTCACAAGAAAAGAGGTCACGAGAAGCGCTTTTCTCTCCCCACCACAAATTCTGCGCGCCTAAAACAAACAAAACAAAGGCAGAACCAAGGCACCACCCTTCAGTTTTAAGGGTGAATTTCCACCATCGGTTAAATGTCATTTACGCACGTCAATTTTACGCGACAGTGTAATTCCACCCTAAAACCCTAACTCGATACGATACGATATGATATCTGGATGTGAACGGGTTGAATTCTGAAAGCTTTAACTAAAGACTTACTTTGCAATTCATCCAACTTCTCCAGATTCATTAAGAACAATGAATGTATTCTTTCAATCTCTCGATCACAATCTATAGCTACGTTCACACATTTAGGTTGAGGGACCCTGAACAAAGAAAAACAAGCACGTTAAATTACACTGAAGAAGTATCCTTAAATAAAAACAACTTCGTTGTTGATGCTCACCAAACTCTTTGCATAAGCGCATTTAACCTATTCAACACTAAACGTTACAAAATATACTGGTTTAGTTCCCTCAGGGTGCAAGGAACATCCCTCAGAATATGGAAACCCAGCGCATAAGAAATTGTAGTGTCCTTACTCAGTGATGGGGGTACAGCCAACTGCTTTTTCTGAACGCTCTTTGCAGCTGAAAGAAATATAGGACACAAATGATAAAATAAATAACTTACGATTTAAAAGTACCATCTCGGATCGAATCGGAAATTGCACATTTTGGTCTCTGAGGAGAAGCCAAGGGAAAAATGAAGTACAAGAGGGAATCTTCTCGGAGCAATAGAGAAAACCAACCGGCACTGAATATTAGCTAAAAATTACTAATTTTCTTTGTATCAAAACCCAAGCCAACTTTGAAATGGAAGTTCCAGCCCCCAATAACCAGCCCCCTAAAAAGGCCACTTGAAAATACACCAGCTTTAGGCTAATTTTTTCAATTTAACCCTTTAAGTCCCAAGAGAGACCGACATCAATTTTCCACTAACGATATCACTGCATCATCAAGAGAAACGATTATGAGAATTCACAAAATGATCACAGGAGGGGAAATGCTTTTGATCTTTTATCAAATTCTCTTAACTAGGTTCCATAACCCTTTAAGTCCCAGCAGTGACCAACATCAATTTTCTCCTGACAATATCCATACATTGTGAAGAGATTAGGTTATGGGAATTAATAAAATGATCACCTTGAGGAAAATGCCTTGATCTTTTATCAAATTCTCTCAACTAATTCTTTAAGGAAATGTACGGAAATCAGACTGAAGAAATTGTGTGTGGATATTAGGGCTTATAGCGTTTAAGGTATTTTGGTTTACGTTTACTTTCTTACCACAGCCATTTTCCACCGACAAAAGCCTCTGGGTGGTATTTCTGTACTTTGTGTGGATTACTTTGACAAACCTTACGAAGTGCACGTGTCCTACAGAAAATAATAAAAAAATGTCAACACCTAAAATATGGCACAAATTTCACCTAAATTGTGGAGGCTATTGTTGGCTAACAATTGTGTTGTGGTCTGGGTATTGTTTGGACTGCACAACAGTCGGCTTTTACCCCTCAAATTCAGTTTTTTATGGTGCCCGTGAGAGATGTTCACGCAAGCGTGAATGGGAGCACGAACCTCACATAAACGTGTGCTCTCGCTCTAGGACTGTCATCTGACCACTCTTGCGTTCTTGAGCTACCCATGCAAAAATACAATCTGCTTTGCTGTCTAGGTATTGTTCAGTGCCTTTTTATTCTGTTTTTACTAACATACGTATGTCACTGGGTGGTTGCACCATCTGCAAAAGCAGGAATTTGCCCCGAATTTACCACATACAGTAATAAACAAGTAGGTAGCTGCTAAGAGATGTTTCCTCACAATTCATGCAGTCATACCCGGCACCTTCAGATCTTAGTAACAGCCCTGGAAGGATATTATCAAGTTTTCTAGAAAATCTTAAACTACAAGTACCTACCATTCTTTCTCTTCCACAGTATTGCTTGCCTGGATATATAACTGTCTGTCAGGTTGGATAATCTGCACCATCTAAAAGTAGAACAAAGAAAAAAACTAAGTAAAAACTTTCTTTGTGGTTACAGTACTGCCTACTATTCTAGATAGGTCAACTTCTTAAAACGTTTATAAAAAGTTCATTGATCCTGGTCTGTTGCTCATGGTTGCTGCATTTAATGCGAAAATTTTACAAGCAACATCTTGTATAATCAGTAGAAAGGGCCTGTTTTCACGGTAATGAATAAATCATGATTCACAAGATTCATAATTATTGCTTGGCAATAAACACTTTAAAACTAAACCCACGGAAAACAGTTAATTTTGTTTCCCAAGAATCTCAATGTTTCTCAAGGCGAAGCTGAGGGAAACATTGAGAAGGTGCACTGTTACCCTCTGACATCAAAGATTTTGCAATGTTGCCTTCTCAGATATTTTGGCAGGAAACAGTTTCATTGTTAGATTATATGTCATGTGACCTCAACGTAACCAATGACAGTGCATGCTGTTGGGAAGAAATTTCCAGCTACATAATAATATATAGCTTCTTCAGATATGCACTCTATCATTACATTGCCCGAGTGTCACACTTCAAATCTCCTAAGAATTAATGTATTGAAATAATAATCCAGCATGTATGAAAAAAGAATTGAAAGGAATCATGCACCTCCAACTGTGATACATCCTGATCCATTAAACTGGAGCATAAATTCAAACAGTCAGTAAGCAAAGAAAATCCTGTCCAAAGGCCAGGGGCTAGTGGATTTTGCTATCGAGCTGGGCAAGTGAAGTTTTTTGGGGAATTCAAATTTTAGAAGAACAGTAATCAATCCTGCTCATCCAATTTTTTTTTCAGGCTATATCAAAAGACTACTGGGTTAGTACATGCTACCTACAGCTTCCCCAAATCTGCAAATGGCAAGCTGTAAAACTGACTTTCTTTGCACCCTGACAGTTAAGCTTACCAGTTTTGAATGAAAGGAGTCTTCACCAAGACGCTCTGCACCTAAAATATCACACACAGGTATACTACCAAGAGGAGGCTTGGTCTTGTCTTTAGAATATGTAAGGCCCTTGTTTGTCAAAACAAAGAACCTCTTTTTGAAATTTTTGAAGCCCAGTCTACTTCTTCCTTGTGCTCTCTTTACCAATATCCTACAGGAAACAAGGATATTTTATACAAAATATGTTTTTACAATAATAGAGGGATATTTCACATGCTGGTTGGTGGAGAGCTATGGTCAATGAGAGTTTTGACCATGGAAATGACATACTGATGATTGTACATTCTGTTGTACCTCACAGTATAGAAACCATGTCCAAACTAACCTTGTACCTACCAAAAATGAAACCCACTTAAGTGTGGCTCAAAAAATACAAGTATGCTAGAAACTAGAATGCATGGATTGGCTTAGTAACAAAATCTGTTGATGTGTGAATGCCTTAAGACTTTAAAAAACAGGAATGTCACTAAGGGCTATATCCTTTAAAACCATTCCAGCTAAGCTCACTGGATGTGGTGGTGATGAAAGTGGGTAAGAAAAATAGACTTGGGAACTTTTTCAACCTTAAAAGTGAAAATTTATACACTGCTGCCAATTTTCTAGCAAGTTTATTCAATGTGTGGTGTTTTCTCTTTCAGTTCCAAAATTAATGGCCTCACAAGATACTCACCCTTCCTTCAGAACAATGGTCGAGTCAACAGGAAGCCCTTGTGCACTGCTCGGTGACGAAATTATCTCTAAGAACTGAAACATGAAAAAATAAATAACACAAAAGATGAGATTTAGCAAAGTTTGAAAGGATGCAGAAGATCCATGATGGCCAATATTTGGCCCTTATTGTGGCAACATTAGCTAAGTATGACTTTTTGGGCTTTTTTTTTTGTTGTTGTTTTCTTTTTGTGTGTTCGTTGGGACATGTAATACAAATTGTACTTACCAAGGTACACTTTACATTTACATCTACTAAATGTACCTTTATCAAGTTTTGCTTCTCTTTACCTGGCACAGAGAAGGGACAAATGGCCACTTGGTGCATGTAGCAAATATGTTCACATTATTCTTAAATTTAGAGATTTGTGAACCCAGAAACTCTGGCAACTGGCCATGTATTATTAATGTAATAATCACAGCAATTCACTTGCCCGTTTCACTGCAGTAATGTGTTCCTGATCAAGAATCACTGACTTCAATGTCTCCATATAAGGTTCCTTAACCTGTCCACACTACAGCCAGTAAAAAAAAAAAGGTGAGTTCAAAATCATGATGTCATTAAGGTGCCTATACATGTACAACCGTGGTTTTGCTATTTAATGCCCCAACCAGCTTGCTTTCCCACACCCTTCATTACGTGAGTTCTTTAATTAAGCATTAACATCGCAGAGATCATTTTCAATACCTGTACTACTTAACTCCACAAAAAATGTACTATAAATCCTTATACCATAAATCCTTTATTAAGCCCCTAGGAGGGGCGGGGGGCTATTTTTTCAAGCCCATTTGAGGGGGCTTAATAGAGACAGAGCTTATTTGAGAGGGGGGGCTTACTTCAGTTAGAAAAGACGATGGTATCAGTTCTCTCTAAAGAACTAGAATACAAAGTGGAAAAGCTCAAGTACGAGAAGGTTGGAGGTCATGCAGCCGAGGATCAGAATCAAATCTGAACTTCCCATTGGTAAATAAACCACCCCGGATCAGCCCACACAAAGTTTTACAGTCGTGATTGACAAATACAGTCTATCATTTGTTAGTGAAGAATAATAAGGGGAGGGGAGGGGGGATTACTAACTTTTTTCCCCTTAAAGCAAAGGACTTATTTGAGATGGGGGGCTTGATAGAGGATTTACCGTAATAAGAATAACTAATGGTCTGGCATCAACATATGAAAGCATAGTGAATCTTTATAAGAAGCACCTATTCAACCCTCCAACCCACTTGAGGTCTAAATGGGCTAAGCCCACACTGGCAATGAAGCGGGATTAGTGGAGGGAAAGCCCCCTCCCCCACTGGTTCAACCACTAAACTTGATGTTTATTGTAAACCAATGTTATGTTAACCAAAAAATCTCACTGTGACCTCATGGTATATAAAATAATTTTAAATATATAAAATAGACTGTCACTTACCAGAACAGAACTAACAACATTTCCTAAGCTTTGTATTGCTTTTGATATAAGTGTAAGGGTTCTTGCTGTCTGTGCATTCTGATAAGAGAAAACAACAACAAATTAAATTAACCCATATCTTTTCAACTGCCCAGTTAATTTTGTTGATGTCCTTATGACCTCTAGGTAGTATATATACATGTAGTATATACATGTGAAGCATGAAATCAGGACCACAAGGGTAGGTTTGAAGATAACGTTTTCTTAACGTTCATATTTATTTATTTATTTTTTTTTTTTCAATCGTTAAGAAAAGGTCAAAAGTTGCTTACCGCATGTTCATTTCTCATCTGGAATAATTTGGGATTTAAAATGGCTGGAGCAAAGAATCTCAGAAACACAAAACCACTCACAGATGTGTAACAGACATCATTGTCATCTGAAACAGAAAAACAGCACTGACTTTTGCAAAGTTCGGAAAGTCACAGAGCCTCCCCATGAAGAAATGACGATCGAAAATGAACAATAAGTAAGGTCCAAATTGCTTTGTTGTAATAAAATCTGTCTGACCTAGTTTGATTCAGAATTTCCCTTTGTTTTTTTATTCTTAGGAGGCAAAGAAAATCTCGGTTTGACTTCCGAATGGATTTCCTGATGATACATGCCTTATTACTTAAAGCGGCAAGCGGCCTATGTAAGTACATCCTAGCCTTACACTCCCAAAAAATAGATTTTGCATAAGACTTTTTTCTTATAAATCTAGAATGAACCACAGGATGTTCAAGCAATAACTGTCATTGGACAAAGACTGCAATAATAAAGATAATACTACTAAAAGCCTTTCACTGTTCAAAATCGTATCTATGACAATAATGAATTTTGACATCAACTGCATAACATTATGCAGAGGTATATCTGACAATGCTTCCTGTAGAATACTTTAAAAGCTGAGTCCTCAAGATGTAACAAAGAGGTCACCTCACTGAGAAGTGTCAAAAGTGTTCTTACCAGGAAATTTTGACATGGCAGCTTCTCTGATGTTGTGGAAGACCTGACACATAACTGTTGGACACGCCATAGCAGAACAAGTAATAGCTGCAAATATTCTGTTTACATAGCCTCGTAAATTGACCTGAAAAATTAACATGAACACAGAAGCAAAATATATTATTCATTATCCACAAACAAAAGGAAATGAGTTAAATTGTAAATTATTATAGCATAATATTCATGCAAATAATTTATTATTAAGGGGGCTACTTGTCACAAGAGTTTAATAAACTATTAACAGATATCCACCCTTTCATGGGCGTGGCCACCTTTCATAATAAGGGGTTACATCCCCCATATCATCAACTGGTCTACACCTCCCATGCAGGTGCACCCATTAAGGAATAATTTTTCATAAATTGTCTCCTTCCTGTAAAAAGGAAGTGAGAATCCACTTGACTTAAACATCAAATAATTTATTATCAGATAAATATTTAATAGCTGGTAATATTAACAGGTCATTGCACAGCAATGATTCAAAAATTTTAACAAACGAACTTACCAAGTTGGCATCTAACGATTCACCTTCTCTTAGTTTTGCTGGGTCAATTTCGCAGCGTTTATGGTCATCAAATATCTGCAGCAAGTCAAAAAACACCTAGTTTATAGTTTTCAAAAATTTCATCTACTTCCCCCAACTACTATGAGCATGAACCCCAGCTTGTTTCATCGGAAACAAAAGAAAAATAGAACCAAAAGTACACTAAATGCAAACCACTACAACATTTTGCTAAAGAAGATACCTCACATGCACACGCCCTCTCCCCTTGGCCACCACTACTTTCTACAAGCTACAACTGGGCATAATAATTATTAAACACTGATGCAAAAATAAACCCCCACGAGGTTCAATGAGGCTAAAAATGTAGTTTAGGCAAGGTTAAACATGAGACAATGCTGGCCAGCAGTGTCCACCACTAATCATATGTGGGGCGGTCTTGGGCTTTAGTAATTTTACAGCCCTTTCGCAGGAGTCAATCATTTTGCTCACATTGTCTTTGCATGCACTAGCTTTAACTGTATTTGCCCCCGTGCCCCCTCCCCTTTGGATGTTTGTCTTGGGAAGTATCCGCGTATTTCTCCACTGAGGTTCTCAGTGTGACGTTGCCTGGTGGAAGCCACTCACAGGGTTGTCATGGTTACGTTCTAGGCCCCCTTGCTGCTCCCTTCAGTTTCACCAGGCACCTTCCCCACACCTATCTATTGTTAATGGGTTTAATGAGTAGAGAATGTACTAATTAACTGAATGAATATCAGAACAGACATGTCTTAGCCTTTAAATTCGTTACCTCATCAACCAGGCATTTAATTGTGTCATGAAGATAATACAAGCCAGCATGTTTCATAAACTCATCAACAGACTTTGTTGCCACTGAATTGCCTCTAAAAAGTGTATTGGAATCTCTGAAGTACAAAAAAAAACATGACTTTTTGTGAAACATTAACAATGAATCAAACGATTACAGTGTACAATGCTGAGTTACGGTACACCTAAAATGCTTTCAAGATAGTTTTCAAGCTGATATCCAGATACCAAAAAGTGAGTTGCCCAGAGAACGATCTCAAACAATTTATAAGCACTCACTGAGCAGTCACTGAATGACCTCAAGGAAAACACACTGAGTTTTGTTTCCCCATATTACATGTGAGTATAGCTCCCTATGGACATGGTTAAAGAGTTTGGTTTACCCTTCTCACATGGCATATGACACACTCATAACCAGTTCAGAGGCACCCTATGAGAATATAGGTCAAAACCACTTAAAAACATAGTATTGTTAAACATATGTATTTAAACGGTAGATATAGGCATATTTCTATCCACCAAAATTTTTCATCTGTTCGGATTTCCTAGCTGAAAGTCTAGTGATCCGAAAAATAAACGGATCAAAACTTACCTTTTCAAAAATATCAGCCAGAAAAAAGGCTCTCGAAAATTCTAGGTGACCTTTTTAGGGTAAAAATCCATTAAAAATGCGCAATTATACCAGTTTTTTAGATGTTCGAAAATCCTAGGAGAGGCAGGCAAGCAAGAAATAATTTTACAACAAATTTTCCGAAATCCCTGCTAGTTGGCCAATGCACTTGTTATGAGTATCAAGGCATAACAATAATCTTGAAGAAATTTATTGAGGATCAACTAGTAACTCACTTGGTACTATGTACTTCATGATCTACAACCAGCTTGATGAAATCTACAACCTAAGGTTGACAAGCAAAATGGACTTATTAGCAGTGAATAAAAACAGGAAATAAATACACCAATATATTACATTATTGTAAAGAAGGATTCTCTTTGGAAAATTATTGAGTCTCTTTAATTTTGACCTGAAATTCTGGACCATACTGAACTCTTATGCACATGTAGATAAAAGTAGGGGAGCTTATGTAGAAAATATGTAATGATGAATTATTAATAACTCTTTAATATATTACCAAAGTCATTAAAGATATGATGGTAACAATTTATTGCTAATTGGTGATCAGATAATTAAGGTCAGTTACATACCTGGTTATGGTGAGAAAAAACTCTGACCAATGATCGTGCTACTGTGGCCTTGTCCTTGACTAACTCACCCAAAATATGGGCAGCTGTTGTCTGTACATCCTACGGAACAAGTCATAAGTATTTACTAAAGTTACTCGAAATTAAGAACGTTGCTGACCTATTTCATGTAAAAACAAGTCACATCTATTCAACCTAAAAATTAAACCCTATTGCCTGAATCTGTCAACTTGTAAGGGTAGGTAAGATTTTCACAATTTGGCATTTTAAGGTTTTTGTACACAAAATGAAAGAACATGACGAAGACTGCTCTAGCAGGTTTTATTATGATTGTAAGCTCAACTCAACTCAATCATATCCAGTCAAACTGTATTTAGGCAGGGTAGCCCTATCAACCTTTGGCTAGTTTCAAAAGGGGCCTTGCACGCACTGTAAGTTATGACTGAGGATTGTATGGGTTTGAGATAGATCACTGGAAAGTGTCAAGAAGAACTCCTGATGTTTCATTATCTGTACAACATCTAGTGAACCTTAAAAAACATACAAATAAAGGGCTTGATTGTTCAATTTACATGCACCAACAGATAACAATACATGTATACCTGACCATCCCCCATTCCTAAAATTGTTTCCCTCAAAGGATCATAGAAACTGGAAGGGAAGACATAATCTTGGCTGTGGCAAACTCTGAGTCTTAAGGAACCTAAATCTTGTTTTATAACAGGGTCACTTTTATCCTCACGTGGGCCAAGCCAATACCTTAAACGCAAAAGCAAAGCACAATCATTAATTAGCCACATACTTCAGAGTAATGGCACAGTCACAGTCACTGAGCCAAGCATTCAGTTGGCTGGGTTAATTAATTAACTACATGACCTGACCCACATCTAAATGCTGTAAGTGGAAATTAGGAAAACACATTTTTATCTCTTGCATGACACTGTGACCATATATGTATTGCATTGTACCAAGAAAAGTAATACCCAAGCCTCTGGAGGGTTTCGACTTAGATTTTCTCAGACCCAGTGGGGGTGCCTATAGGAGTAACATGAGGGTCAAGTTAATAGTAACTGAGTATCCCCCTGCCTCCAGCCCTGCAGCATGCACATCTTTGTGATTGGGATAATATAAAAAAAAGGTAGAGATATAGGTAAAGAGGTCTTATTTTACGCTGGTAACTCAAAATAGTCATGTGACTAACAAACCTGAGGCCGACGGTGCGCTCATTTTACCCCCCTCACACCATCAGTACTCCGTTTTACAGGCATTTAAAGCTACTTAAAGCAATACGGAAAGGAAGGAAGTCAAAAGAAGGATTTGAGGTCACATCAGGATATCGAACTTGGGACATCCCACACTGAAGGCCGTGCACTTACCAACTGTGCTAATCCTTTTAAACGCAATTGAAAAGTACACAAACTAAAACTCACTTACCATCCTTCATGGCAAGAAGACAAGTCACACTTGCTTAAGGGTACTCTCACCTGTAGGAAAAAATGTTATACATACATTTATAATCAGGAAACTAAAGCAAATCATAATAAAGGTATGTAAAAATTAAAGAAGGAAAATTTATTTTAATTCAAGACTGCTGTTTAGCCGACACCTTCCGGCCCTGGCCCTGTTTATGAGCTTGCAAATCCAGAAAAAAAAGAATTTAAAATCAAATTGTCACAAAAGCTTGTGACATAAAAGTGACAAAGAGGTAACTGATCATAACAGCTATGTCTGATGCAGACAAAGGCTCACACTTTTACTTAATGCAATTTAATCACTTACTTCTCCTAGAAAGATATCTTCCCCAATAAGACTGGCACTCCATGCTGTACACCTTTCAACATAAGACAATAAAAAACATTCTCTTTAATCCTTTCACAACTAAAAAACATTATGGTGAGATTGGCAGAACATTTGCATACCACATGCACTACATATAACATACTTCTTACATTTAGAGATACCCAGACGTGCTGTTATCACAACAAAGTTTTTAAGTTAATTGCAGGTGACAAGAGGAGCCCCGCGTAATCCTAACCTCCAGGTTGTTATTACGCATGCGTCACAAGTATGTAGCCAGCATTTGTTTAGACTTCAACTAAGAATGAATGGATGTGCAAAAAAAGCAATTTCATCATGCCTTTTAACCTTCTACACCTCGTAATCTGATCACGCATGTTTCAACCACCTGTTACAGGAAACTTACGCAAAGCACAGTGTTGGAGCAAAAGAGTTGTCGCCCGCACTCCCTAACCTTTGGATATTACTAGTTATCCAAAATAATTTGTACACCACCATACAAACGACTTATCATAATACTGACAGACTCAACCAAAACTAACCATGAGGGAATGACTGGACAACCGACAATTTGATTTACAACAAACGGCTGTTTAACCGTGACTACAGACGGATCAAAATGTACCAATGACATTATGAGTCTTCATAACCAATAACATCAGGGCTTAACTGACAGACGACCCATAACATTGCGACCTAATTGACCAATCAGATCAATAACATGAGTTTAATACCATCAATTGACGCGATACAACTCACTTTGACACTAAAATTGACTATTCAGATTGTCAAAACGTCAGTCACCGTCAACAACAGTCCTATTCAGGATCACGTTCACCTGGACGATCAAACTCAACCTACCTATGAAAATTAATATCATATGCTTTATGTACAGTTGTATATACTCTAGATACTCCAGCGACCTTAACTTAATTGAGAAATGAAAGTAATAAAAGGAAAAAAAAAAGAAATCAGCTTTACACACCTCAACACTAAACTTTCAATATCATCAGGAGGTATCTAAGAGGGGATAAAAATATTCTCATTTATTCATCCGTAAATACTGTGGCAGATTCTGGCTTTAACTACTTAAATAATGAAAAAAACCATACAAGATTATTTTTTTTGCAAGAATTTACAGCAGAGAAGTAAGAGCTAGTGACTATGAGCAATTGCAAAACTATGTTTTAAACAATAGGAGTGTATTCCTTACATACAAGCTAGACCTTAACTAAATTATTACAACTGTACAAACCGAGAGAAACTGGCTACATGTGACTAACCTTCTTTATAACAAGGAAATAAACAACAACTGTAAATCATATGATGCCACAACAAGGTGTCCTTTGTCAACATAAAGGAGATGCCTTAATATGTCATTGGGTGTGCCACAGTAGATTTTGTACAAAACAAGACGCTACGGAGCTAGCGTACACTTCGGCGTCGTGGTTGTGGAACTAATTACATGTAATTGTAAATGCGGAGGAATAGTAAGAAATCAAATATGGTAAGAGTAAGGTGTGAAATTATGGGATTTGTCAGGATATTCTGAAAAGAGCAACATCCAAGAGGCCTACTTGCTAAAAACTAGCATTTCAGGACAAATTGTCTCCACGATATTAGCCCAGTTATGCTCTGATGACTACATACAAATCCTTCTAAAAAACAATTCTCTATTTTTCTTAGTCACATCAGGCTTCAAAAACAGCATAGCAGTCTCATACTGATTAAAGATATGTAAGGCATGGGTAAGGAGTCAATTACGTTGAGAATGGAATTGGCTAAAACTCAAAGTCACGAGTTCGAATGTTTTGAGGATAATTATTCACTGACCATCAGCACGCAGGGATGTGGGATTAACACAAGGAAGTTTAACACCAAAGGAACATAGCCTTTACAGAGCTTTAAAACACAGCATCCGCCAACACAAACTTGACTTGAACTTTGAGTAAAACTAAACAGCCTCTACCAATAATAACAAACTCTCACTAGAACTTCAGATATCTTACGGCTTCCGCGAACTTGTAAACACAGAACCTGAATAATCGACCTTCGTCACACTTGACTAAACACAGCAGCCCAGCTCGTGGGAAAAACTTAGTTCGTCAAAAGAACTCGCTTGGAACTTGTATACCGTTTGACATAAGGTTCTAGAGAATACTAAACAGGCGAATAGTAGCAGCTTTTCGACATATTTTATGATTTCAGTAACTGATGCCAATCGGCTGACTCATGCTGAAATGTAAACATGCCCTAATTAATTATTCATGGCTAATCCGAAGAAAGTCACGCAACGCATGAAAGTAATTTTACTACGTAACACTCAACAAAGACAAAATGTCTTTGTGCAGCATTTTGTAACTTTAAATTCATCATAAAACAGTTCGAAAGGAGGGCTCACTCGTGAAATGTTTTTCAACACTCGAGAGAAATTTCGTGTGTCTCTTGCGCCCCACGAAATATCCTCTATTTATTCCTCGAGTAATTAAAGACTAAACTCAAGTGATCTCAAGATATCACAAGTAGTCCGATCTCATTTCGTGAAATAGTTGAAACAAGCCGAAAAGTCACGAACTTGCACGCCCAATCTTGTCCCGAAACTAGTGCATCACTTCATCACTATTTTTCATCTCCCACACTACCTTGGGTCGCAGTAGCGCAATCGGCTAATCCCTCAACTTAGAGTCTCCTCTGATCTGACGGGTCACACAGGTGAGTCGGTTCAAACCCCGGGGAAGCCAAAATAATAATTCTCTCTCCCTCGAAAAAGTTTAAGAATAAATCAAAGAAATCGAAGTGATCTTGAGATATCTCGAACTCATTCGGCTCTCACTTCGTCAAATAGCCGAATAGAGCCGAAAACCTACAGACTTTGCTTGCCCAATCTTGTCAAAAAATTGCAACTTTGATACATTCCTGAGCGTCGCGAATCCTTTACTTCGCGCTCCGCCGAAGTAAAAATTTCCTTTCACTCAACAGTCAGTTTCTTACCTCAAAAAGAAATGTTTCATCAAACAATGGACTTAAAGTTCTTTTCTTGACTTTGGTCTTTTTGGGCTCAGACCTGGGGGAATAAAAAAATTAATACATTGTTTTGCAAACTAATAATGAACACAGAATCTGAAAAAGTGTCAGTAACTTAAACCTCAATAGGAGACATGATTGTTTTTGCTGTTCAAATTTGTAACGAGTGAAACAAAAGAATCTTTTGATACAAGAACCGTGCACAACTGGTTGGCACATACGTTAATATCAATACGTGACATCAAAGTGAGCATCACCAAAGTTACCCTGGACTATTGAGCTTGCTGAGAAAAACAGCATATTGTGCATACCTGGACAGTGGTCCTTGAATAGTTACACTGACATAAGGATCAGAAAATGTACCATTGCCACTATATCCATGCAAATCAGTACATTGTACAATCCTAAAGCAAAATAAAGAAAAAAGAAAATAATGTATATGTAATAAATTTGTCATCAGCTTCTAAGTAATAGAGTAACTGAATGCATTATTTCTATAATCACCTCATGGGCATTAATAAAATTTAAAAGGTGATAAGGTGATAAGAAAAAGTAAATTTAATTTGCTTCAGCAAATAACATAATAAACACAACAATAAAGTACGCTTTGGTGCCTCTGTTACCTTGATCATGTAAGCTTAACTTTCTCAGTCATTTTATTGTACACTGGGTGAATTGAAGGTAACAAGAAAAAGTCCACACAATAAATTTTAAACCAAAGGAAAAATCAAAATAAATTCCAGAAAGGTGTGCAGCTTTAACTCCTTACCATGTACAATGGAAAAATGGAACTTGCGGAAAAGGAACAAGAAAAATCTGTTCGCTATAGTGAGGCTTTTTTTTGTTGTTGTTGAAACAAAGTTTTTGTTTAGTCGCCATTTGGCGACCAACTCTCTTGGTTTAGGGAGACTTTTTTACAAATCAAGTCACCAGCTTCAAAATTCTAGGTGCCATGGCAACTAAAATGGTCGCAACTTGGAGGGTTGAACAAGGTTCTTTTTAAGTTTCTCTATGTTTACTTCTTGACAAACAAGCTCAGGTATAACCCACCTTACACTAAGTTTTGGAGTATTGGAAAATTCATCATCATCTGTATCAGGTATAAATTCATAATGTTTGATTTCCAGATGTATCCTTCCTTGAACTTCTGTATCAGGTTCAACATGAACTAAAGGAAACCATGTATCGCTATGGTAACTGTGAACACATCCTCTCTTGATTGCAACCTTAAAGTACACAAAGTGAATCCACATATGAAACTTGCAGAGAGAAAAACTGCTAAAAAAAGCTGTGACGGTACATGTAAGCTAAAACTCATTAATACTATATACTGTTAATCCAACATGTAAAAACATAGCAAGAAATGATTCCTAATCATTTTTCAAGGTGATTATCCTTAACGAAAATTGCCTGAAGTCCTCAAGTGAAGGCAATCAATGAGAACGACATGGCCAGGAAATAAAGATTGAAAGTTCAACATCAACATCCATTGTTGTCCTACCTTTCCAAGTACTGTATCTTTCCCAATAAGGTCAGTATCAAAAAGGTAAAAGCTTAATGTCTGAAAATCTCTTGGAACTTCAAAATGCACATCTTCACCAAAGAATGGGCTGTCAAAAGAAATAAAATACAACATAATTATTTTATTTTTGAAATATTCTGACTATTGTGTGAAATACAATAAACAGCAGTTTTAGCATGTTTTTATGTCCAGTATTTCCCAACCATGCTTCACCTATAAACCAAAGTGCTCTTGCACTGTCTATTTTGAATGGACATATTTCTATTTAACTATATATATACATTAGGAATTTATCGATACAAATACTGTTTGAAAATGAGCTATCACGGGTGAAATCTACTGGTCTGCTAAAAAAGGATAAGAATTTAAGGGACAGAGTGTACAAGTAACCTCAAGACTGTAAGACAATATGATCATTCAGGCTAAATTGTAGCTGTGGTTTTAAGGTCTCTTAATATCTACCTAAACATAATATAAGGCTGTAGGTGTCAGACATCAATGTATATGTTGCAGTTAATTTTATATTTCAGTTCATTTTTATGTTTCTATTGTTTTGGGATATGTTAATGTATGCTAATGAATTTTAAACAAAGGTAAAACAAAAATCAACTGAAATAAAGAATTAACTGCAACATATATGTTTTCCCCAAATACTGTGCCTACTTGATACCTGTCTCAGATAAGTGCTACATCTGAAAGCAAAAATATGGAGGCTTAATATAGCCGGTACTTCTGCCGTCTCCTTGAGTTGGGAGTTTGCGAGTCTCCAGGAGACAGCTGAAATTCAGGTTAGGCTCAATATAATTTTATATAGACAGCTGTAATATCTGACAAGCATACAGGAAGAATAGCACCATTTTTAGCATGTTCATGACTGCATCTCTTTACTGAGCATAACTTACTATTCCACTGTGATCTGGGACAAGATATAGAACACACATTTCACTGTGATCTGTGGCCGGATACAAGACACACAAGGACCACTTTACTTAAAATACACTCTCAGTATTGTTCCTCAGTCAAAATTTAGACTCATGATCAAGCAATACACGTAGTTAGGGTAACACCACGTAACAACATTAGTGAACTTACGCAACAGGACAGGGGAGGAGAGAATGCAAAGACAGCAAACCTTTTGTGACAAGCATGATAATAATTTATTTTGTTTGAGAAAACTTTCCACCAAACTTCACCTTCCCTTAAACATATCTTTTCATAAAAGATCAGAAAACATTAATGTTTGAAGATCACCACAAAACACGCAAGTAATAGCCCTGTCATGTATGTCACACACAAGTGTTTTGCCGTCCTTGTCTTTCTATTGTCCTGTTGCATAAACTTCTACCAACATACTGCCCACACTGATGTCCAGTAAACTTATTACTGGACTGGTAAGTCAAAAGATTTTTACAAAATGGAGGCCCACGTTAAAAAGTTAAAATTACGACTTCCCAAGACCATAATGTACAATAAAAGAGACAAAGTTCTACATAGAAAGCTCTTTAAAGACTATCTTGTAACACCTCCAAGGTCGAACACATCACCACAGATTTTAAACTCCAAAAACTGAGAACAGGAATCTAAACAGCAAACCCACTGCCTAACTCTTCTAGAGGCTCTAATAGATTACTATTGGTAAAAATTTCAAACAGGCCCTCAATACACAATAACTTTCCAAAAGAAACACTTCTTTTAGCCCACTAATTAATAAATTAAGAGCCAAGGACTGTACATAAAAAATAAAGAAATTGTTTGGTAATATCTTGTGTTCAAACATCCGGCTTCATCAATGAATCGGGTCTTATGGCAAGAAAAAACTTTCTTTCCTAAAATGCCATACAAGATTTCAAAGCCGATACGGAGAAAACATAGAAATTAAGCAAAGTCAATTAGTTCAATATATCAAAATATAACCCAGGACTTGAAAATTTCATTAGCAATTATAAACCCAAAAGAAAACAATTCTTCTCTCGATTTGAAAAGCAAATACCAATAAATTAAGCTACGTTAAAAAAGTGTTTATTTTGTCTCAATAGATTAACTCAATTTCGCTGCACGAAAAAGGAGGAAAAAGTCTAATTATGGGAATACAATTGTTAAAGGTCATACATGTGTGTTTGCACGCGACATGAAATAAATGCGTATTAATTTATTTTCACGTTAGATCAAACAGATTTTAAACGGCCCATTTCAATTCCTGTCACGTTTTACCATGCTTTTAAGGTATCCGCTAATGCGAGGTTAATCATACAACACAAAGCCGCCTACAAGATTTATTTCATTTCAAATTAACCTCTGCCAAATTTCTTTGTACAAACCAAGACCAAACTTCCCGAATTTAAGCTTCCGTCGTGTACATGATAAAAATCTGTAAGCTTAATCAAGGAAAGTTCCCGAGACCTAAATATCAAGATGGCATAGTACACGTACTTTTTCGGGCTAACAGGATCGTTACAAACAGGGCTTTAAGATTTGAGAGTTTGGTGAAAAAAAAAATGTAGATTCAAAACAATCTAAGATTTAAGATTATAGTTTATCTTACTCGTCGAGGACGTAACAAAATTTTACACATAGCCCCGAAATTAAAATATTACATCTTCACACTTGCCTCTGTAAAAATAATTAAAATATAGGAACGTGCCCCCTGAAAATTAATAATGTGAACTCACCACAAACTTTTTTCCACAGTTGCGGTCCTAAATACCTCCTCTTGGTCGAGTGTCACAATGCAGTAACAGTTGCGTGAATATCTTGGTTCTTTTCGCGGCTGTAGATTTTTGGCCTCCCCTATAAAATTTCCAAGTTAATTTCAAGAAAATGAGAACTGTATTTTGAAGTTTTTAAGAACTTACCAATGCGTATTTTTAAAGTTTCTTCAATCCGAACATCACACAAGTTTACACCAGCCGCCATGTCGAAGCCATCATTATCACATGACCACAAAATGCAAATTTTGATTGGGTAGCTTCTTCCGGTAGTAAACGATCTAATTTCCGGTAGGAAAAAAGTTCCCGCGCTTTTCTGTTCATTCCACCTATTTATCCATTTCATTTTTCCTTTTTTTATTATTTTTCGGCATATTCGTATGGCTTGAAAAAGTAAATCACATACTTCTATTAAACTATGAAGTAACAATTGGAAATAAGATCTTTTCAGCTTGCAAAAACACGCGATAACGATAGAACAAAAAATTTATGCTACCTCATGCTGTGATTTTGTCATCGCCTACGAAGAAATTTTAACAAAAAATTATAACTATTCTTAAAATTTCTTTAAATAGAACAATGGATGTACAATGAGTGGGGTTTGCCTTGCGGACAATAAAAATATTGCGCAATTTATATACCGCACAGACTGCGTAAAACTTCCACCGCTTTTCGGCCCCTTTTTCCATATTCCCTCCATGATCCAATATAAATTAAACATTTTTTCATAAACTTACAATATCGTTGCCGAGATGATTATGATATTGAGGTTGAATTATTTTGCGATTTAAAAGCCCTTCAAAAAAATTATTCCCCAAAATACTGAATATATTAACAGGGGCCGAATGTGTAAACGAACTTTTCAATTGAAACCTCCACCGACTCCACCGGGCTTGAAAATAAAATAACTGACAATGTTGAATTGTCATTTTAGTTGATCCATATTTCCTGACAAGGTCAAGAACAATGAATCAGTTAGGTAATACTATCATTAACCCCCTGCATGGTTCCTGTAAAACTCAAAAACCGAGCTTTAATTTGCCTGGCAGTGGTTTCTGTGTAGCATGCATGATTATTTTCCTGAACTCGATATTTGCCACAAATTCAGAGGTTAAGTTCATTATTGTTAACACTTCCTGTTTTCCCATACATTCTTGTCAGTGAACTATATCAAAGACCTCCAGAAGTCTATCGAAGTACGAATTTACCAGGGGCACCCAACGACAATTTTTGGAAAATATCTGTTCGGAAGACGATTTGAGATCTAGAATTATCGGAACATTTGTTGTTACTGATTTCTTGCTTGCCTGCCTCTCCTAGGATTTTCGAACCCCCCCCCCCCACGCCCCCCCCCCAAAAAATTTTTAATGGTATATTTGCCCATTTTTAATCCCTAAAAAGGTCACCTAGAATTTACGGGAGCCTCTTTTCTGGCTGAAATTTTCGAAAAGGTAAGTTTTGATCCCCGTGATAATTTTCGGATCACTAGACTTTCAGCTAGGAAATCCGAACAGATGAAAAATTTTTAGGGGATAAAAATATGCCTATATCTACCCTTTAAATACTAAAATACGTTCAACAATGCTATACGTTTCAGTGGTTTTGAACTATATTCTCGTTGGGTGCCCCTGATTTACCCCTAGCCTAACACCCGCCATAGATCGGCCAATAAAACGGTAGGACAATTAAACATACGGTAGCAGCCGTAACACTAGTCAGTATTTACTGTGCTCATTTATTATACGTGACCGGTTCCTTATATGCTGACTGGCCCGGAAAGATCACTTAAATGAGTGGTGAAGCGACTTCTTATTTGATTTTATGTAAATTATGACCAAACTGAAGCACTTATATTCATCAAAGTAACGGTGCCTAGTATATAAATAGGTTAGTATACCCACAGAACGCACGGATATCGTATGAAGCTCCATAGCCTATTTTATAAGCTGTAAAACACGAAATAAACGATCAACCTCTACAATCTGGCAGGGAATGTGATGGTTATATTAAAGCCTGGTTTGCATATATTAATCGTTACTTGAAATTCACAGCGATTATAATTACACGAGGGCAGAACCAGGGATGTTTTACTGGAGGGGGCAAAACCTGTGCTCACCCTTAGAATATTTTTTAAAGTCTGTTTACAGTTTATGGTTGCTATCCGTCACAAGCTATTTTCCACAATCATGGACAAAAATCGTGGGTCAAATTCGCATTTATGGGTCTTTCTTAAAAACTGATACCTAGCCCCTGCCCCCAGCCCAATTAGCACGGTTGGACGCCTGAATCCGGAATTTTGCACAAGAAAAGGTTCTCTTTTTCACTATTTAAAGTTTGAAACGTTACCAATACCAATACACTAGTGAACTATTAAAAGGTTACTAAAAAGAGTTCTGAGCTTTTGAAATTTGAACTCCCGGCTCGTGAGACTCTTCGCTCCATTTGCCAACATGATTTTCCTATTTGTCACAGTATAGTGACGTAACATTGTCAATATAATATCTGAAACAAAAGACCTAAGTTACCACCACAACTATGTTGCTACCAATTCAAGTTTCTTTCAGTTCACTAGTTCTTTTCCGTATAAACCGAACGGGAGCAAAAATACGCATTTCTGGCCATCGTGAATAGACTCAGGGAGTAACTGCAGGTAAATTAGTTCACTGTTTGGTCTTCGACAAAGTCGCAGCCATAGAGCTCAAGACGCAGAGCAGTGCGTCTGAACGTCTTTGTATCAAGTGGGAGAATGCGGATAAATGACGCCTTGATGGGTGGAGAAATTCCTTGACTCACAACTGTGTTTCTGTCTGAATTTCCAGAAAATTTCTGCAAAAGATTCAGAAAAACTAGTAACCATAGAACCGAGGTGTACATTTCGCTGCAAAAGGGTGTGGTAGGCAAACAGTTTAGAGTGGGGAAGGGCGTTGACCAATAGCCCACGTTCGATATTTTTAAATTCTAACATGACTCCGAGGCTTTCTGATCATTTTTCTTTATTTGGTTTGGTTTTCTTTGTCCTCAAGTCTCTTCTGGGAATCGCAAGACTAAGGAGTCGTAAAAAATTTGGAATTTTGACCCTGAAGCCTCGGAGTCATGTTAGAACTTTAATATATCAAACGTGGGCTGTTCGAGGCTGTGCGTAAGACCGGGCCGATGTTGTGTCGAATTGCAATATGGGAGTGCAATATTGGTCATAAGTCAACCCGTAGAACAATCCCATAGTGCAATTCGACACAACACCTACACCAAGTCTCAGACGCAACCTCTAATGACCAATAGACATCAAGGAAAAATAGTACTTTTTATACATCCGTTTACGTAGCAATGGCGACCATCTTAAGTTCAGAAAAATTTAAAGCAAGAAATACACGTAAGCTAACGCTCTGTCTGGCCAAAACCGCACGCATGTGCGTATCACCCAGGCAGTAGTAGCCATTGTGGTAACCACAGATAGCTGTTTCGGGCTCATGCGCATGACCGTGGGTTTACACGTGTACGTGTGTGTCACTTGCTTGAAGCTTAACTTGTCTTATCTCAAGGTATATTGTGCCGAAATATATAAAATGTCAGCAAGTGCACAGCAACAAACCAATGTGTGGAGCCGGATCTCCCAGTTGTAGTCCTGGATCAGTACAATTAAACTTGTAGAAAAATATGAAACTGCAAACTGATCCTTACGGCAAGGCGATGAAGAAGTAAACAAAAGATAAATCAAAAAAATATGTATTTAAATAAATTGCCCAATATTTCGGTTTGAAAACAAACCTTCTTCAAGGGCTAAAAGAAAATCCAAAACTATGACTTAACGGGATATCCTGTCCGTAAATTTTCCCTCGAAGCGCGCTATTTCTTAAAGTTATAGATATATCAAATCCGCCAAAATAGTACTACCAGAAGTGTTTTTGTATCATGAAACAAATGAATTATACTCGATACAGGGGTTGCCTGTCTCTTTTTGAATAGACTTTTCCAAGCGTACTAAGATTTACAGTCACTGAACGACAATCTGAAGCAAACTAAGTGGAATCCTGGTTTTTCGAACCCGTACAGAGGAAAACAAAATTGCTTTGAGTTATCGAGAGGTTCAACAGCAACAACAAACGTTATCATTACATCCAAATGGAGAATTTTACATTTTTTTGATGCTAGTGGCAAGAAAAGAAGAAGTTGCTACATAAAATTATGCGTTATGACAACAAGGATGTCTAGGAACAAACGATTTCGTGCTAGCGCCTAGCTATAAAATGATATTTTTTTTAATAACACAGTGGTGACATGTAAAATAGTGGCAAAAAAAGAAAAAAAACAACATAAGTAAATAAATAACACATAAACTAGACACAACATGGAGAAAAGAACGGATATGGTCAACTTTCAAATTGTCTAAACAGTGGATGTTGTTTTAGGGGAAGGAGGAAAGATATGTTGTTTTGGGAAGGAGAAACTTGGGAGGTCTTTCAAGGGGAAGATATTTCCAGAGGTCAACAGTCATAGATTGGATTGACTGCTTTCCAATATTCGTTCTTGTGTGTCGTTTATAAAAGTTCTTTTTTAGGGCACATAGTGTGTTATAATTATGTACTTACTTGTTCAACAGAAGGAGTAACGATGGATAATTATCCATGGAGTCGACTTACGTTGTTTGACTGGTGAAGGGGATCAGTTTTGGTTCGAATTTTTGAAGGAGACCAACCTCGTTTCCAGGGCTTTTACTTAGAAAATGGGAGGGGCGGAAAAGCCCTCCGGACGAGTTTGGAAGCCGCGATGAATGTACACGATCAGTAATAATTGCATTACATACCTTGATTAATCCACCTTGCTCATAATTTTTCCATATTTTACCAGTCATGCTGTATTTTAGGGTGTAGCTCGTAATAAACCAATCATATGATGGACTGCCTTGAGTAGCAATACCAGTGATTAGCTTTATTTCAGGCGCGAAAGTAATTTGTAGCCAAGGACTGTAATCCACAAGAGCACTGACCCAGGATGATGCCTTCAGCCATAAGCGCGCATCCCTCGCATTAAAACGTTTAAGGCTTAACGACATTCCCACTGATGATGCTGTTATCTGATGATCAAGAATTCGCCGATCCCGCATCCCCAGTGGAGGAGAGCTACAAACTAAACAATCGAGAGATCTAGAGTGAGTAAAATTTGATACCGTGTATTAGAGGAAAGCAAGACGCGTCCTCTTTACAAGCTCGGACGTCAGCATACAATGGTGCAAGAGGCAGCAGCTATCAGTCCATTTATGAGCTTCCTGTAACCCACCCATATGAGCTATAATCACATTTAGGAAATTAAGGAAAGATTTTTCTGGCCTTAATCATCATATAGTATTTGATGAGTTTTCGTAGACTCTTTAGGTTACTACGGAAGCAGAACGCCCTCTACGGCCAAGATATGAAGCGCCACAGTTCAGACTAAGTCTCAAAAGAAATTAATCAGTCGGTTGGAAAGTGACTTTTCCATTTATTTGTTTTTTGTCTAATACTTCTTGGGCCTAGTGTTAGATCAAAATCTTTTGCAATCTTTTTAACCTTATTTTTTGTCCTTTCTTTTAGATTATCAAAAATGATGCAAAATGATATTAAACCTGTTTTGTCATACTTTTATGTTTTTTACATTCATTTTAATCAACCTGCCACGCGGTTTGAAAGCGATCGGAGAAAAGGGGAAATTTAGGGGCTAGAGATCGCGACGACCGTGCGTGAAAAGGAAAAAGTAGAGTCCTCGCCAGCCCATCACGTTCTTCCTGCCCCCCAACCCCCTAGTCTTTGGAATGTCGCCAACCAACCTATAATTTTCATTTCACCGTATGACGCTAATTACCATTGCACGTATCTCCAGTGTAGTCTTTGTAACAGTTGCATTTAAACCCAGGAGCCTTCGCCAGATTGACACACCTTCCGCTGTTTTTACACGGCGCGTCACCCACGCACGAACCCGAGGGACGTGACAAGTGGTCGAAATATACAACGTCTGGTGAAAACAAAAAATCCTGAAGATCTGCGAATCGAGTTGAGTTACTCAACTCGCACGTTTTGCTGGGAAATCTGTAATTTAAGCTGTAACACTTTGTATCTTGATCACATGCTACAATACACGTCAGCTGAGATTTCCCAGATGATATCTTGTAGATGTGGTTGGTCAATGAGTAATCCTTGATGGAAGTTACAGCGATGCAGTTGTTCAGGCCAGCGGCGACGGAAACAAATATTAAGTGGAACGTAAGACGTGTATGAAAGGGCGTCATCTGTTCTGTAGAAAAACAAATAAAAAAAACTAAACTGCTTAGCCGAAACTTCAGCAATCGAGTCCATGAGAATACTTTTGGAAGGGAGATTACCATTTCCGACGTCTTCAGTTTTTATCTCTGTGTGTTTAGCACCGACCAAGAACTCATCATTTTAGCCTAGTTGTGTTCAAATTTTAAATTTTTGGATGCCTTCAAATTTTGTGCTTCTCTTGCAGTACCTTTCATCGTCTGCAGTGTTTATCTCTATGTGTTTAACACCGACGAAGAACTCATTATTTTGGCCTAGCTGGGGTGCTGTCCGGCTCTCCCCCGTCGCTTGGCATTCATAAAACAAATCCCCAGTCACATAAATAACTCATTCGATTGTTTTTGAAAAGAGAATGGATTGCAAGTTAAACGTGAAAATATACTGACCTGTATTTGAGACATCTCTCGCTGGCTGACTAATCAAGAATGAAGGAACACAATTCTGATGCCAAATCCATGAAAGATCTGCAATCCCCAGCTGAAAGCTTCTTTAATATCAAAGATCCTTTATTTCAATAAAGAAGCATAGATAAAGTAGAAAATAAAAACTGATCAGCAAGAAAAATAAAATTTGTTTATTTAGCTGCCCAGACGGTGTTTTTTAACCTAGCGTATGAATTAATGCCATTAATTTGAATTTGTTTGGCTATCTTTGTCTTTCGGAAAGACAAAGATAGCCAAACAAATTCAATCTTCTTAATTAGGTTTTTCTGTTCTTATTATTTGTATTCTTGGAACAAAAATCAAAAGCTATTGGAACAAAAGCAAAAGCTATTCAGTTCATAGAGTTTGCTTTCTTATTGTGCATTTGCAAAGGCAAACATCGCCGTAACTAATACTCAATACAGCTGGTTCTGCAAGGAAGACGTTTCTAAAATTTCAACATATGTCTAAAAAACAATCCGTGTCTTCACCGATAAAATGATTTTAGAAGCCTTACAAATCAGCTATTGTCTGGCAAACTGTTGGCTCGATCATAACTGCTCTCTTGGTCCTTCCCGGGCCGTAGGAACGAGGGATCATTTACTGAACAACGGCTGGTTATCGAGTCTAGCAAACTGCGCCTCTCATCAAACTCTTCTTGGCTGAGAACTGGTATACAGAATCTATTTCGTACCTCGCTTTAACGTTTGCATGTCTGAGTGACAGACTCCGGTTTGTAATTACTACTGCTCAGTTCAGTCGAGGCTCTCATTGTAAGCGACCATCTGATCTCTGGTAACGATCGCCCAGTATTGTTAAACCCCGTTTGAAATGTAGTGACTTCAAATCACTTATTGGTCAAAGTTACGGTAAGACAGCACAGAAGATCGAGCTAGAGCTAATCAGGTCCCTCGACTTGTACGCACAGGAACTTTGTATGTGATCAACAGTAAAAAACTAATCTATGTACTAATATTTTGAAAAAATGTCATTGGTATAAACAATATATGAAATATATCCCAAGCCTTCAGCCATTTAAAGCTAAAAGTAAGCGATCGACCACAATATAATGAGTCATGGTTAACTATGAATAAATCGGCATCAAATAGTCGCTTAGGAAATTTTAACGGTAATAGTTTTCGCTGTAACTGTTCGAGTTTCTTGAGGATCGAGACAAAAAGAAAAGGACAATTCGCAAAATATACGTATACAGGCAGTAAAACCTGGTGGACATGGTATCTAATGTTAAAGATTTTATCAAACCAGCAAACAAAATTTGAAAAGATATTAAAATTTACGCATGATTGAGGATTCCTGAAAAAAAAAAGTATTTCAAAAATGCTTACCGACGGGCGTAACCGTACGTAAAGCAGGTCGATCCGGGTCGAAGTTTACTAAAAGGTTTAAGACAAAGATACCATGCGGTTACTTTTATATACGACAATGACAAAAACATAAAGGTTTTCTTACAGTGTTTTTCATAAAGGTGATAGCCTGTTCCAGGCGTTCAGATCGCGCGGGGACAGCGCCGGGCAAACAGATGTGAGTCGCACTCCACTATCCGAACGCCCGGAACAGGCTATAGCCTATAAAGGTGAAAACACTCCTGTTGGCTTTTAAAATGGCTTGAGTAATAAACAACTTGATGCATGAGGGAGGGCTAACGTTGCATGCGACGTTTCAATTGTTATGTGTTTCGGGTTTCGAGCGGGCGGTTTCGAAGGTATAGCATTCTTATATGGAAAGTTTCGTAATTTGGTAGTTAAGTTCTAATGCAATACCAATGGAATTTGCTCTAACCATGGGTCCAAATTTTTTTGGAAAAACGGAAGCTTTAAATCAGCTAATCATAAAGTTGCATTTGTTCGCTTAACAGTTGGATAATTCAGCGAATTATTGATTAATAGGAAACGTTATAGAAGTGCGTCACCGTGCTTGCAAATGAAGAGATATTGGACTCCAAATGAAATCAAGTTACCTAAGCGTGAGCTTCAAGAGATTTTTTTAAGAGCCGGCAAGTTAATTAAAAAGGACATCAACAGCAAAACAACCCACTCAGTCAGTTGAACGGAAGCACTTCGGGAAAAACCCTAGCGTCCGTTACGTTACGCAAATACCTTCCCCGCAAAAGCTTTTCTCGCAGTCAGGTCGAATGTATAAAGGCACGTATTTTCTAGTGTATTAAATATTGGTACGGTTGATTGCTATAATTACGCCCGAGGAAATGGTTCAATCAAATGAAGTAGTTTAGCATTTTTGTCATTATCAATATGAATGACAAAGCCTTATGAGAGCACCAAATCAACAAGCTTTAAGAAACGTTTTCACGTAACGTAACGTTAACGTAACGTTTTGTAATGTTTTGCACGTACTAATTAGTTGAATTAGTACTTAAATTTAGACTAATAGCTTTTGCAATACTGTAATTCCTTTATGGTCATGCAAATAAAGCATTTGGTGCGTGTGTGCGTACAACGAAAAGATATGTGCGTCACAAATAACAGAAAATGCGGAAAGTGGAAAGAAAATGTGGAAGGTTTTCATTGATGCGTGACGGTGCATTCACAACCAATTCCTCTTAAAATCTAAAAATGAGATGAAAGAAGCGTAGGTCGAATGAAATAAGATTCGCTCGCTTTCTATTAGCATTCATTTCGAGGCGTTTTGCTAAATGACCAATGTCGATAAAAAAGCATTGGAAGCATGTGTTGAATGGCGAAAGATTAAGTCAAAAATTGAAGTTTTTGAATTAAGAAAGTATCAAACGTTTTTTATCAATTTCCTTTTCCAATACAATATTTTGCCAACTTTCGGATTATCCAAAATGCGCTCAGGTCTGTGAGCTGCTCTAGCTACTTATACTTAAGTCGTCAGAAATCAAGTGAAAAAAATTATAGTCTATATAATCAGACCGCGTGGCTTGTTACACTGTCAAAAGAAGAGATTAAGCTCAAGAATATTTTCCCCAGTGACAAAATTCGGTTTTATCATACTGTTTTCCTTTTTTTTTTTTCACCCTATATGAGTTGATAAAGTGAATCTTTATGGACCTAAGATTAAAAAAGGCACCATCTCCCGGGTGGCGAGGCGGGGGAACACTCACTTATTTGGCCTAGGCGGATATGTGTCTCTTGGTTATAATGTTTTTTGGGTCCTGAGTCTTAAAAAGGGTCCGCCGGGACCCTTGCCTAAGGCCTCCTTAAGTGCCCCCCTCCCCCCGGACGATCTACATACTTATACACTTATCAGAAATACTGAATAATCAACAGTTCTTCAAGTTGTTCGTCAAGGATACTTTCACTATCTGGCAACCTATATTACCAAGTTAATTCTCTCATTATTTAATTGTTGTCGTTGTTGTTGTTATTCTTGGGTGAGGTTTTTTCGAGATAATATATATTTTGGAAGAGTATGATAACAAAAGACAATGTGAAAATTTTGGTGAGCATGAGTGGGAGTGCGTCATTCTTTTAAGACAATTTCGATCCATTAAATCTTCATGCGTATAATTAGAAACAATGAACACAAAACGTTCATGTAAAAATAGAATTAGAGATGAAACGACCTCTATGCGGACAACTGAGTTCTTTTAAAGTTAATCGATAACTCGACAGATTTTAATGTTCTGAATACTGCTAGGCTGCCGGCTGACTACACAGGAAAAGAGGTAAGAGAGAAAATTAAACAAATTCTGATTAATTTTCGAGACAAAGAAAACTCTATTTTTGTTTCTCCGGCTGACACTGGAGTGCCTTCGAGAACATCAGCATGGACGGATTTAGGGTTTGGCTGAGTTGATCGGCCTCTTTTTCTGGGAAATTTTGTATTAGTTTTAAACTATGCTCAGTAAAATAAACAGTATGCATTCATATAGCTGGCAAGTGTCCCGGTCGCCCGTTTCTGAATTTCAGTCTGAATTCGCCCCTGATCAAAGCTGTTGTTAAATGAACTTTGAAAAGAGGAGAAAGTGAGGTTTATATTGAACTTATTGTCATCTAAGCAATTATATAATTTGATAAGGCTTTAAGAGAATGATGATGTAGATAAATAAGATTTATACCGTTTATTGATCTGAGGTGTTTGTGTGTGTGTGTGTGTTTTTTTTTTACCAAATTCATTCTAGCTCTTAGAGTATGGTCGCGTTTCGTACCGGGGGTATTCAGTCTGTGACTGTAGCTTCGCTTTTTCACCTCGTTGATTAGCCATGTATTTTTCACCAGTTTGATTTAATCATGCCTGTCCTTTGCATTGGTTTATTCAGTACTTTCGAGTATTTTAAGTATCAGTTCAGTAAAGCACTGAGGGATATTCGAGCGCTTTCGCAAATTCCAGTTACAGTGCGGAAAAACGTCGGTTGGCATTTTTCAAATGCATATTTATCGCAGTGAGTTTATAGGTATTTGTCTCAAAAATATTCTGCTGATAAAGTATTCTAACAAAAACTCAAAAGTTGAAAGTTCAGAAAATAAAACAAACTTAATCAACTTTCACTACTTTCCTTCAAAAGCACTTAACGCGATAAATAGGAAAATGCAAAGTGTCTTTTT